ATAATACATCACACTCTGATCTCAGGACAATGTTCCATTTAAAGGCAAATTAGCTGGCCAGTTTGTTTCAGTTCCTGGAGTTAATGAAATAAAAAGCAAAAAAATTTAAATTGTTGAATTCTAGTAAAAAGGAGCAAAGAGCACATGCACAAATATTTCTTCTGTTCAAAGAATTTTCAAAAATCAACCTTGTTTTATTACGAAAATATTTTCTTATCTTGTTTGATTTAACTACGATGCGCTTAACACGAAAAGAATAACTGTTTCCGATAAATACCTGTGTACTGGAGTTTGATGACATTTTATTGATTTTGTATTTAGTATTTATCTACTTTCGCCTTTGAAAAATGCTGCTTCTGCAATAATAGAAATTGCTTTAATATTATGGAAAGAAATCGAGAATTTTTTATGTGATTCTAAAAAGCCGTGAAAATAAATTATAAAAATATGACTAAAGACTAAGAAATCGATTTATAAACAATGTATATTTTCTATCTTCTGACTAGGTGAATATTGTTCGAAAACTAGAACACTGTTGATAGTCTAAGTTAATAGGAGATCCCATGAAACCTATGTCATTTTTACGACAGTTGATTGAATTTTAGGGGACCTTACATGAATGTTGAAAAAAAATTTGTGAATATGCCACCCAGCATGCTTGCAACATGAAATGATTAAATAAGTTTCGATAACTCTGTTCTAGCCAAACCATGACCTTGTAAAAAAAGATTTTTAAAATCATTTAGTATAAATATTATCAACCTAATATAGACATTTTGAATTAAAGCTTGTAATTTAAGCATATAATGACTTTGAGAATTTGTTATATGATTTTGAAGGTTTGACGATGAGTTTGAAGAGGCAATTTTTACATCGTAAATAGCATTTATTATACCTTTTGTAAGAACGCATTTTGTCAATTGAATCGAGTTTCAAGTTTGGTGCAAAATTACGACTTTGATCTTACGAAGAAAAATTTCAGTAACTCCAAATAAACTAGGATCTGAGTTACCTGGCTTTTAAAGGTTCTGGGGTCTGTTTATTTATTTTGGTTGTCTTTGAGCCCTAGGGTTTTCAAAGTAATATCAACTGATCTATTTACATTTGAATGTCTGAGTGTGGTGGCAGATCTTTTGCTATTTTAGTACTAAAACGAAAAGCTTTCTTCACTATAATGCATTTGTTACTTTAATTTGCGACAAGTATTTTTGTTTCGTGATTGTATTTGTTTTTAATCGAATTTCCCCTCGTTTAACCGACTGGGCAGTGTAAATTCATTTATCATTTGGTTTAAGTGATATACGCATTCTTTAACCTACGGACTTCAATATTATTATAGTCACTTCCAATTAATTAAATAAATGAGATTTGTATTTAACCAAGGGCATAACTTGCTTTCAATTCGATTTAACTCATAGCGCTACTTGCTGGTTTATCGAAATTTGTTTGACCGCCTAGCACCTATGGCAGTCTAGTAAAAGAAAATTTCTGCTGAACTGAACGCACATCCAATAGGCTTTCATGGCTGAGCGTATTTTGTCATATCCACCTTGTTGTATTTTGATCAAGTTTTCAGTCAGTTGTTAAGCAATGCAACAAATGATTACTTGCGACGTATACTGACAGCCGTTGGGGCCTACGGCGGTTTCATTTGTTTGATTGTATGTCAAACCAATTATTGACATGCTGACCAAGGAAAACAAGAAAAATTTCGCATTTTTTTTACTATCTGGACAATGCAGATTCCATTGTCAAAGGGTCACGTGCAGAGGCCACGAGTTAGTGAGTACAATTAGTACTTGAAGATTTTAAAGGCATATCCTCAATGTTTATGACAGCAATAAACTCCAGAATAAATTATTTTTATGGTTGGAACGAGCTGACTTCCAAAAAACGGTTTTCATACAAACGATTTTGTCAGCTACCCATGAGCCCTCGCCGTAAATGAGCACAAGAGCGCCACTCGCATCAAAAATGGCCGGCCACATGATGCTACGAAGAGCTTATTCAGAAATCGCTTCACTGCCCAGCGACCATACTACACCAGTAGAACAATTTAGGCTGCAGAAATAATTGCTTAAACACTGGTCCATTGATAAGCGACAAAAAAGCAAATATAGGTAACTACCGTGCTGAATTCTAAGGCTCCAAATAGCTCCCAATTTAAGGGTTAAATAATCACACAGGACTGAGGTCATTAGGTGATTTTTAGAGTACTTTTAAGGTTGGTGGCCCACAGGCACCATGAATATCCTTTTGAGTTCATGCAAAATTTGTTACTAGCCTGTGTGAACGTTCAGGCTGCTGTAGCACCAGCCTGAGTCACTGACCAAAATCGATTTATCTAGTGACACTCAACATGGTGGCGAATTCGGCTTAACTTTCGAAATTATCTGACCGAAGTCTAACATAGAATTGACCTATTTGTTAGGTTATTGCAGAACGTTGCACATAACTACCTTTTAACAACTTCATAGGGTGAAATAATTAGTGAATGAACAGTTAGAGATCTTTTCACGCCCTAAAGTATAGTCTTTCTGGTAGATGAACGTGTGGTCAGCAGTGGTTTCCCAACCAAGTTATTAAAATTATCACAAGCTGGTTTCTCTAAGACAAAGCCACTGAACTTTTAACGTGAATAGTGTACCACAAACACAAAACTTGCCCAAAACAAACGTGTTGTTTAAACTGATCGAATTCCAGACACTAAAGGCGGCAGATCACAAGGAATTAGCATCTAATTATTCCTATTAGCCGCGTTTTGCGTCCATGTGTGTGGTGAATCGAACACAATTGTATCGTTTATCGCATCAAAATTTGTGCACACGATCATTCACACCGCACCTCGGTGAAAAAAAACAAATTAATTATTCCGTTTTTTGAGGTGTGATCTGTTGGATAAGTGAACAGCCCGTCTTGGTAGCGCTTTGAAGCACTCGCTATGCGTTTGTCCACACAGCAGCAAATTTGGCTGATCAAAAGCACACGAGAACAAAAGCAAACAGCAGTTGCGTGGTTCTAAATCACTGTCGCCTGATGCTGCGTTTCGACCAAGCGCAAATTGCGTTTTCATTTTATACTGATACGAAGCAACCTCTTTCTTAAAATATTTAAATGCAAATTTAAGAAGCCCGCAGGTTTAAGTGGCACTTTGTTCAAAGTAATTTCCTTCAAAATTTCAACCAATTATACGCGTCAAAATCTAGACTCGGACTTGCAGGTGAAAGGCAACTGAACAGTGTTCAACCAATCACCGATGAGTACTCCTGACGCACAATCGATCTCGCGAAACCACTCTCAGAGCCACTATTTCCTCAAAAAAAGTATGTTGATATTTAAATCACACCGTAGTAATCTGGTCCTGGTAACTTTGCCAAGTGCAGTTGCAGTCTATCAGCGTGTTGACCTTTTGAACTCTCAGCGCAAGAACGGTTGCCAGAACCTCAATAACCGCGACTTAGTACACTGTTAATTAGCAGAAGCACACAAAAGGTAAAGAATTTTTCCCTCAGAGAAGTGGAGGCGGCTGGAAAAACTTATTCTTAGGGAAACCTCTGACATTCACAGGGCCTTGTATGAACACAACGCGTCTTCCTCGTGAAGCCACATGCTTCAATCACAACTAACTTGTCCACTAGTCAAAATTGTGCACGAATATGCGCAAGTGTGCATTCTAAGTGTTGGTTTGTAACGCCAGCGATAATACCTAAGGCCGGATTCAACGCTATTTGCATTACCACTTCAACCGGCTTGGTTAACACAGTCATTCCTACCCGTAACTGGGGTTTTCGCGCGAAAACACACATTAGAACAAACACGAATGCAAATTATTGTCAAAACCCACGATTACAAACGACAATCAAATTTAATGTGTGTTGTGATTTAAAAAGTAGAATGCAGGTGCATCAATAAATTGACAATTTCAATGAAACTGAATAGGTTCTATCAGCTCAAATGTTTAGCTTTCGTTGAATCGCATCAAGTTTCATAAATTGCCAGCATTTGCGCACATGGTGATTGTTAGATTCCTCTATTGAAGCAAAACTGCCCATTAAATTGCTTCAAGATTCTCCCGAAATCACTCCAAATAAAGTAAGTTTATTATGAACAAAATCCAAGAAACACGGACCGAAGTTACTGAGAAAGAAGTCTTTTTTGAAAGTAGAACTAAGGGGAACGTTTTACCGTGAAGTTTGATTAGCGAATAGTGATTTGAAACCTAAATTTCTCTCCACTACCGACGTTCAGAAAACCGCAGCTGACGACGATAGATGTGTTTCTTGCAATTGCGGGAAAGAGAACTGCAAGCAGTGGGGACTGGTAATTTTGTTGATTGAGGTAGGGGAACGCAACTGAGGAAAAGTAACCACTGAAATGGAAAGCAATTTCAGCTGCGTCCGGAATCCACTTAACTTCTAAACTAACTGGATGGGCGATTGTGAACATGACGTCACACGTCCCCAAATAAGTAATTGTCTACACGTAGTGAAGGGCTTTCAACTTTCATTTTTTAAAAAGGCTGTCTTTTTAACCAGACAAAATCAGTCATTAATAGTAAAAACTATCCAGACCACATAACGCACCCACACGTTTTCAAAGTCGTTTGTTTCTCTAAGAAATTTTAATCTAGATAACATCGTTTAAGCATCACTCGTTATTATTATCAAATGATTTGTTGAATCCGTTCTTGATTACATTATTCTGCTTTTCTAAATTTTCGACCATACCTCAATAAGATTTTTAGTCCAAAATTTTAAACATGACAGGTTTTGCAGACAAAGTATCAACATCTAAGCACCTAGTTGAAACTTACACCGTGCTGCCTTCGTAGTTTGTAGACGGAAAGTATGAAGCTGGACCCAAACTGGCTTTCAGCGATTCGTCCTATTAGACAAAGAAATTAAATACCTGTAAGAGGACAAGAAAATAGTAAAACCTACCACAGCGCCACAGGAAACTGCTATTGAGCTACCATTTATATCTGGGAGGTAACCGTAGATCTATATAGGCTTTGTGGGAATGGTCGAGTGCGTTACCTTATTCATTTTCAAGTATACACACAAATTCTGGTCCGCATTTAAAACCTGTCGGGGGTCTGAGCAAACCCCTAAAAGGTCCAGTGGGAATTTGCAGGCCACGTTAATGTCCGGATTGATACGCCGACCAGTTCGAAAATCACAGTCCGTTTGTGAGCGTTCATAATTCTGTAGATACTTTGTCATGAATTCCAAGTAATTTGTTTCGTCCTCAGTGTCAAACAGTGGTGTTCGAATCAGCGGCCCGTTGGCATCAACTGGAGGCAGGAATCCGATCCCTTTGAACAAGAAAGTGTGAAATAATAGCATTATACTGCTGGATGCATTATCCACAATATAAAATGTCAGATTAAATGGTTACAAGAAGCCATTTGTTACATTGATAGCCACTTAAATATTTTGGTCCTGTATTATATCTTACAGTTTGACTAAACATGTTCAAACGTTTGTATCAAAACCCAGATGTGGAAATAAACTTAACCTTTGAATATCTAAAACACAAGCCAGTAATTATATATAAATTTTGAAAGCTGCCAAAATTTAAATGTCAAAAGGCAAAAACAAATGTTTCCAATTTTCAAAATGTCGATGAAATTAATCCATGACAGTGACAGGAACTTGCTGACATGAACTAAAAGCCTTGACTAATTGTCGTAAAATTTTACGTGTACAGGCATTAATAAAAAAACATTTCTTTTAATTAGAGCAATGCAGTGCCAAAAATGGGGTTCTTACCTGGGTTCAGTCGCAGTAGACTTTGCTGTCCAGTAAGTGTTGGAACTTTATCGTTTATAAATCCATACATAACTAGGGAAATCAGGCCACACAAAGATCCAAAAAGGCACGTGTAGAAGACAATGTAATAAATAATTATAAGGGCTACAAATTAAGTTTGACATTTTGGTCGATAGTTACCCCAACTCTTCCATTTTCGGTTAAGAAAGGTGCGCTCTTTTGGGTTTAAAATAAATAAACCACAATTGCGGAGTTTAAGGTTAAGGGAAGCCTTAAAAGCACCAAAGTCTTTCATTGCGCAAAAAGTGGGCTTTGAAAAATTTGCATCTGAGAGGACGTAATAAGTATCTAAACTTGAAAATTAAAACAAGTACTTCTATTTTACAAAACAATTCTTTTGCAAGGTTAGAAATATATATTTTGCAGCATTACCTTTAATTAAATTATTAAAAAATCATATAAAATCATTAGGTAACAAAAAACACTGAAAATGTTAAATATTTCAATTGATGCCATGATTTTCAGGTATATATCCGTCTACTTTGATTTATTAAACCTTTTCCACATTGCTTGAAAAATAAATCTTCAACGGATATATTGGGTGCAGCCTTAGGAGTTATTATTTTCCGTTATTGCGACTTTATATTTCATTGCTCTGACGTTTTTACCCTAATCCATAAAGGAATGCTTAATTCACGTTTACTTGTAAAACTATTTACTTGTGCCATTCCGAAAAGCTCAAGTGGAGTCTAAAAAATGTGAACTATGACAAATATGGCAAACCTACTGAGCTTACACTTTAGAAAATGCCCTGAATTTACCGACGCATCTTGCTTCTTTTTTTAAAAGCTACAAGGATTTCTTAATTAAATCAAATTCATGCAGTGCAGAATTATGATTTTACACTAAAGTTTTTCAGAATTGATTAAAAAATTACTGATCTGGCCCTGATTACACACACTAACTTTTAAATAAATGTTTAGTGCTAAGCAGTAACTGCTGACTTCGACAACATTACTAAGCTGAGGTTGATTTCGAACGACAAAATCTGAGAATAATGCCGTAAATTTTTACTGATCTGTATTAAATTTAATCATGTGTAAACATTATATAAACTAAACCTTTAAAATTGCTAAGGAATTCAGTAATTAACCAATCATGAGAAATATTAATCAGTACCTAGCTAAAATTTCCGATAATGTGAAAATCCACTTCTGTCATACAGCACTTTAATGCTTTCGTGTACTACTTTTAGTCAGGTCTGTAAGTACCGGGTGAAAAGGTTAATTTTTTGACTGCAGCATATCCTTCAGTTTCTCGTCGAGACTCATAACACACCACTTCACAACCATTCTTATCGACTTACTGTGCAATCACCCATAGGCAAATCAACATTTTAATATTCATTGCTTTCGAACTTCAGTGACGTAAAAATCATTTCTTTTCAAACTAACTAAATCACAAGCTCGTATTTGGATTTTCTTTGTCAAGAAATAAACAAATTGCTGATTTTATTCAAGATCTCACCTCATTAAGGAACTAAGCATGCAAGAACATCAATTCATGCAACTCAATATATCAGCTTCTCCAGTTTCAAAAATTAAAAAAAAAGTTAAACTTTAACTAACAAGTGGTCCCAAACGTTGCAATACTGGGAGCTATCTTCGTTATTAAACTAACATCATTTTGCTTTGTTTTAGTCATTTAAAGGTCATTGGGCCATTTCTTGTCGAATGCACTTGGATAGGTCAATGGATGGACCAGTGGATGAGACAACAGACACACTTTGTACGGGATCATGCTTTTGTTGTAGAGCTAAGAATACAAGCCAAGAAATATGCGTGAAGCATGCGGTTATTTAGTTAGTTAACAGCATAATAATTCTTCTTAATTTATAAACGCCACACAATTTCCGCGCACAATAGTTTAACCGAAACAAAACCGTAAATTTACCGTAAAATGAAGTATATTTATCACAATGTTGGTCACAATTCTAATCTTATCAATGGTTTTGTACAACAAGGGCATCAAGAGAACTCAAAGGTAATCGTAATGAACAAGGTAGTTAGAACATATGTACATGGCGAGTGTTAAATTCACCAATGCAATCACTGGGCTTCTGACTGCAGGTTTTAATCACGGATTGTCCCGGACATCGAGAGCCACGCCTGCAATGAAAGCATACCTCAATGTTTGTTTAACATTCAACCAGCCAATAAACGAGAACAACTGTAGAATTGACCCTGAGACAGAACTCACGCTGGATTGGACTGCTTAGGTGGAAGGAATCGCGTTTGGAGACCTCGAGGTGGGTGCCGGAGATGCTGGCAGAAATCACATTTCGCCTGGTGATTGCTGGCACGATCTCAGCCCCTGTTCGAGGCAGGGTTGAACGGTTCGGCCGACTCAGTGCCTCGCCCTGGCGACTGCGTCTGCCAATGTCCACTGCGGCAGTCCGAGGTGACGCCATTGGTGACTGAGGGGTTGTACCAGTGATTCTAAATCGGCACACAATAACTACAGGGTAGTGGGTTGGAAACTCTTGTTAAATTGGTGCAGTTTAGCTGGAAGGTGCTGTCACAGGTGTTCTGAATTTAGCAATATTTGAACTGGTAGGGCTGACTTAGTGAAGCAATCGAGACAGAGACGTCTGCTTGGCACTTGGCGCCTACCTAAGGGCCCCAGGCTCCACGTTGCCGCCAACAACTTCCACGGAATAGCGCTGCGGATGTTCACGTTGCTGCTGCTGCTGTGGTTTCGAGCTTTGACTAGCCGGACGCTTCTTGCGCACAGCCTGGGCGTCCGGTGTGGAGATGGGGATGGCGACTTTTTGTAGAGCACGCGCGTTCAACGGACCTGGCGTCGTTGAACTCTTCTTTTGGTAGCCCACGAGCTTCGCGCAGGCCGAACCCTGGACTGTGGAAGATGGACGCGGATCCGTGGAGGCGAGGCGTGACTTGCAGTGCTCCATCACAGAGATGCTGGAGGTGGAGTGGCGTCTGGTAACTTTGGAAACAAACCAACGGAATCATCGTTTTCAACAGTTGCATGGTGTATACACACAGAGGAATTATCTAGTATTTGAAATGTCTTCATTGTCTTACGAACTTACCATAAACTGCGTTCCTGCTCGAAGTCTGAGCCGAAGGTGGCGCGTCATTTGGCATCGGAGGGTCAGATGTTGATTTTCCCATGATGTACTTGGTTTCGTACACGGAGCGGACGCGAGACAGCACCTCTTCCAGGCCCGACTTACTGTTCAGGGTCTGGAGAGTGAAGAGTGTGTCGTAGAGGTCGCCGTGGATGGATGTTTTCTGTGCCGGCGACCCCAACCCCGCGCCCTCCACGACCTGCAACATCGCCCTTCGCCATTCCATGTGCTGCCTCTGGAGCACACTGCGTGGAATACCTCGCACTGGTCTCTCCTCCGCCTGTTTGTCCGCTTCCACGACAACCTCCTCGAGGTCATTCTGTTCGGAGAGCGACTCCTGCGTGAGACTGCGTGTCCGCTCCAGTCGAGGCTCGCTCGAAGGGGCGGCTTTTCGGGCCGGAAGAGGGGTCAGCGAGCGCACCGAGGTGGTGGCGGATGTCGTCGGCGTTGTGGTCGTCGTCGTCGGCGGCGAAAACGACGTCAGCATCGGCTTGGCGTGCTTTGCGCGGAGACGCTGTGGCAGGCTTCTAATGGCCCGAGATTGGCGCGCAAACTCTGTCATGGCGCGATGCGCTCTCCTGCTGAAGATGTCCGTGGTGGTGAGGAGGCGTGTGGGGGTAGGCAGGTCGTTGTTGGCGGAGTTTGTCATTTTTCCTGCGAACACCGGCTCAGATGCCAGTGACACTACAATAAATAAAATCTTTGCATTTTGAATGTAAAGTCGCCTTCTGATGCATTTGATGGCGGCGATTCTAAGTAACTAATCGTTAGAAAACGGAACACAACCTTGAGGATGCTCAGTTGCCTTTGGTAACTAACCAGATCACACGGCCAACACCATTTATACACGCGCTCGGTTGATGGAGCAGTCGGAGAATCATGTTCTCAATCCCTTCATCTACTGTTTGTCAGGCTTGAATAGCGTCGTGGTTGTCATAGCAACATTAAGGCCATAAGTTGGCAAATTTGGAAGTGCCGAATCGTATTGGCAATCTTACACAACCAATCAAAAGTGTGGTCACTGATACACCAATCAACTGTGCGCAAGACGCACGAGACAACCAATCAGCGACGAGGGGAAAAGTGACAAGCGCCAATTTAAAGCACACTTGCTTGAGGTCTGTGTGAGGTCATCGCTGCCATCGAGATCCTCGTTTTCGTACTGGCGAAACACCTCGTTGGCATGAATGATCAGCAGCTCGATTACACCTCTGAACGCGCCGTGGAACGCGAACTGGGAAGGCCTGAAATAAACAAGTAAAGTTATCGTGAATTTGTGGTAAATCACACAACCTAATGCTTTTTGTTTCTGGCGTGATTTGCTGTGAATTCAAAACCTCGGTGAAGGAGCATGAAAAGGGCTTGTTCCTTGACTTATCAACCAATCACGTTCAAGTACATGCTATGTTGCTGCGGTGGTGATGATTGTGGTCGTGGTGGTGGGGGTGGCGATGATGGTGGTGGTGGTGGCGGTGGTATTGATAGTGGGGGTGGCGTTGGTGGTGGCAGTGATTGTTGTGGCGATGATGGTAGGCTGTTTTGCCCGATTGGTAGTTTTGTGAACAAAGGCCGTGGCTTATCAAACTCACACCGCGCCGTTCTGATTGCCGTTGTCTGCGGTCGAAGCGGCGTCGTCCAGCGTGGCGTGCGGCGCTGCAAAGAGCGTTGGTCCGAAGATGATGCTGAGGTTGGCGGGGGTCATGCGGTTCTTCTCCGCGAACTCGGTGACCCTATTGAGAAACCGGAAGAGGTAGCCGGCGTTGCGGTGGTAGGCCTCGGGCATTTGGCTGGCTGTCGCCTGGAGGTGTCTTATCTGCTCATCGCTGTCGGTCCTACAAAAAATTTGTGTTCACGCAGTTTGTAGACGATGAAGGCAATTCATGTTTACAGCGTCCGCCTGCGCAAGTCTTGGTTTATGCATTACCCTGTATACTCTACCTTCTTACCTACATGTTCGTTGTTAAGCGATTACATTTAACATTCTCTACCTCTGGAAATGACGTTGGTGGTTGTGGTGGTGGTGGTGGTGATGGTGGCAGATGTGGGGGTGGTTATGGTGGTGGGTGCGGTGGTGGTGGTGGTGGAGATGGTGGTGGTCGTGGTGGTGGGTGCGGTGGTGGTGGTGGTGGCGATGATGATGAGTGTGGTGGTGGGTGTGGTGGTGGTGGTGATGATGATGTGTGCGGTGGTGGTGGTGGTGATGATGGGTGTGGTGGTGGTGGTGATGGAGATGGTGATGGTCGTGGTGGTGGGTGCGGTGGTGGTGGTGGTTGTGGTGGTGTGGGTGGTGCTGGTTGTGGCAGAGGTGGTGGTGGTGTTGACGGTAAGAAATGTGGACTAAAGAACAGACCAAGGTATTCTCTAGCTAGAACGAGATGCCATTTCTGGAAACCTGTTGCCCGAACCTCGAAGTTCAAGCCAGTATAGAAAGCACACTTAATTTCGGCTAAAGAGAAATTTGAATTAGAAGAGTTACTAAAACACATTTTACTAATTCTGACAATTAAGCAATTACCTCCTTCCTATTTACATATTAAAGAAACAAGGTTGTCTTTGACAGTATAGCAATGTACGGAGATAGCATGCAGCATTCTAATAACCTACAACCAAACTACTAAAAACCTTTATAAGTAGCTAAAGCTTACATCTCTAGTGTGCTGGACCACTGGTCCAGGAGGAGCGAGGTGAGCAGTGGCTCGGGCAGGCTGCGCAGGTACTGCTTCATTGCGTCGGCGATCACGTAGGGGTCGTACTGGGCTATCACGTTCTCCGCTCGGAGCGAATTCAGCGCACTCTGGGGGGTGGGGGAGGCACAAGCAAACGCCATTTAATGCACCATCTCCTACGGGTACTCATCACAAGCAGAATCACCAAATATTTGTTTGGCTACAGCCACAAATGCGTCGTTTGGTAGAATTTCCATTTTTCTAGCACACAACCACCTTTTTGTTTGTTTGAATTGCTACTACTTGGTGTGGACGCCGAATCAGGATATCTCGGCGGTATCTCAAGGGCTCAGCCAATCATCTGCCAGTGGAAGCGGCAAACTGTGGTTACGTAAAACAGAAACTTGCAGGAATATTACCTTAAGTGTGTCTACTTTGGTCTTGCTCCCGGCAATCCGAAAAATGCCCTAGAAGAAAAACAAAATCAAAAAATCATAATCTAACACACTACTGAAAACATGGAAGTAGCCGGGAATTACGAAACAATTCGCAAAATTTTACTAGCCAAAATGTGAACAATGAGCCACGAATCTGCGAGGCACGTATTTTGTGAGTGCGAGGTGAGATCGCTGAACATGTGGCCTTGTTGCGAACAGGTGCAACTCAAGCTCCAGCATCTTTGTGGGGCGGCACTGCAAGTCGCACACCGCGGGGTGATGATGAGGGGGAGGTGGTGGTGGTCGTGGTGGGAAGGGAAGAAAGATGGGAGGAAGTAGGGAAGGGGAACGTGCGGCTGGTCGGTCGGACACTACTTACCTCTTCGCAGAGCGCCGCCATGTTGTTAAGCGATCGCACGCATTGCTGCAGCGGGTAGGCGATTCGTGCGTGGGTTACCGCCAGATGCGTCTCCAGGTTGCGACCGTACACGGGCAGGAGACACTGCTCATCTGCAAAGCCCACGAAAGCACACACAAAAAGACTAGAGTTAACTGCGACACCATGCGCACTTTTTTAGCTGGTGTCGAAAACATGTCAAAATTCTTGCACTTACACAAGTTACCGATAAGGACGAATATTTGAAACAAAAATCACAAGTAAACGTCTACTTATAACCAATAAGTAGACGTTTTTGTATATGACATCCCGAAATTGCTCACCGAGTTCAGCCCTGAGGAGAGGAGCCAAGTCTTCCAAGATGGCAGCGCACCTCCGGTGGTAGGTGGCGGTGATCTCGACCATGTCGACCAGGGCCTGGGAGCACTCCAGAGTGGACATCGTCTCGAAGTTGAAGAGCTCATGCAGGGCCTTCTCCTACAGGACAGAAAAAATAACCGTTTGAAGGAGCCATTCTCTCACATCGGAACGTCTACCAATCAGATGATGGTAGAAACTGGTTTGCCAAGACCTAAGATTCAAGATAGATAGGGCGAATTTGTCAAAAGGGTCTAGCATTGTGTTGATCATTGGATTACCCAATGATTTTGCATGATTTTTAGAAACATTACTTAAATTGCATTTAAGTAGTACTTTTATTTTAATTGTCGTGGTTGATTAACAAAAAAGTGGTGATTGATGATCTCATTTCACAGACAGTGGTTGGGGAGAACAGTCGCTGGCTCTCTTCCCTCCAGATGTTACACAGGCGAATACGAAAAGTAGAATCTGTCATCTACTCAGTTTTACATAAGTAGCAATTGATGAATCTGAGAATGTGCGAGACTTGCCTTAAGAAGCTGAGATTCCGCTTCCAAGTCCTCCTTGATAGCATTCAGTTGAGTTGCCTTGGCTGTCCGCATCAAATTTCCTTCGCCATTCGGTGTGACCGGGAAGTATCCTGCTTGTGAAGCTTGATTAATGAAGGGATATTACTTGGTATAAATTCGGTGAAAAGTATTACTACTAATAAACTATAAGTAGTGTTTATTGTACAAAACGCAACGAGATGTGCACAAAATGATGTAAGACGCTATTCGGGAACCAGATCGTGTGGAGCGAATAATGGCGACAGAAAATTTTTTCATGAACTTAATGGAAGTGCCTCAGACATAGCAGTCTGAGTTTTACGACTATCCACTAAACAAAATTAAAGTCTACAGGTTATTCAAGTTATAGCCCCATGTGAACAAATCATAATATACAGAAACGCGGACTGTAACATAATTTTACCGATCTTAATGTGGGAAAATGGTCCTTAGGGATTTGAAACAATTTTCTACTTGTAAATAACAGGTAGCATCTTTTCAAAGACACAGAAAATTGCAGCTGGTGGCGCAGTTTGGCCACACAAGGAAATTTAGGGCTTGCAAATTGATTCGCCGAATCTGCGATTTCGGTAACGAGCATACTGCAGCCTGGTGTCTTACCCTTTGAGGGTGGGGATCCATCCGGGAAAAGAGGCGATGGCACGCCCTTAGGGGAACGCCGGTCGCCTCCTGATTGGCTGTTGATTGTCTTACGGGAGGGCGCACTGATTGGTGGGGACACGGTCTCCAGCAGCAGGTTCTGAAAATCAATAAGAGATAAAAGTTGTTAGCCTCGTTTAGCAAACATGACGTGTACCGCTTCAGTTCAACATTGCAAAAATTGCCTCCACACATTCATTCACATTGAAATTGACCAATTACGTTGTAACTTCACCTCGTGAATGGGCAGTGTAGGTGACCCCTGTTTCGATACATCGCTGCTGCCACACAAATAAGGTCATTTTTTGCAAACATGATGGGATCGCAAGTTGAAAACGCCACCGGCACAACACATTCCTGCCTTTGTCACAGTTAAAACAAATTTCTCACAGGAATTCTCTCCGAGCTGGCCAGCGATTGGCTGTCATCGGTCGAGGCGTTGTGGCCACTGCCAACTGACGTTGCAGCACGTGCCGCGCGCTCGCTGACAGAGCGCAGTTCACCGCCGGCACGCCAGGCCTGACGCCGTGTGCGCGCCATCTCACTGTTATGGCTGGTTGCCTCAGCGACGCGTTTCATTGGACCAATCACGCAGTCCTGGACGCGCGCACCCCAGTTCACGCGAGCTTGCGCCAATTGACTTGAGGCTTGTCCACACCCGAAGAGGAGGTGGCTGTTGAGACGTTATCGAACAACATAATTATCCTTCTACTCATGCGTAAATAAGTAGCAAATGTGTATCAAACATGCTTAAGTTAAACTATCGATTTTTCGAGTTTGGATAATGCAGTAAACTGAAGGTACGACAACTTGTTAAAAATGGGATTTTTTCGACAGAACATCTTGCCTGCCAGCTGGCCACTGCCCACAAGCAAAATCACACGGTTTAGAGGTTCACACACACACGCATACCCCTACAAAGCAAGTTGTGTTAATTACCATGTGGAGAGGAAAGAAGACAACACTTACAAGGCTCGTCTAAACGCAGAACTAGCTAATTTGACATTTACACGATACTGCGTGAAAGGCCAAACACACACACACACACGTGGAAAACAACCGCGGCGAACGCTTGACCGCTCTGCACTATCGTTGCTTGCCGTGTGTGGCTGCGAAAATGATTTACACGACTAGAAAACCCGTGATGCGCAGTGCTGGAAAAGGCGCGATTAGAGGAGAACAAGATAATCGCTCTGTGGAAGCAGTAGGAGCTTCTGACCGGCCTACTGTAGGTTGCCATAGTTACACATCCATCGCTGTTGTTTTAAAAGACAAACAGGGCGCGATATTGGAGTGGTGGGAGATAGGACCCTGAGATGCATGTTTGAATGGACCAGTCAACCAATCGAATTCGGGGAAGACTGAAGCGGTTTAACTGAAATGTTCCCAAAAAATTATTGACTTTTAACTGAGATTTTGGTTACTTGGAAGAATATGCATGAAATTGACTCCAGACGTAGGTAGTCAACGCACCCAGAATCTAACAAGTAAGTTTCCGGACAACTTTATCGATTTTATTGATCTTCAGTCTGTCTTGGGAAATCGCGGGAGCTTGATGTTACATTTGTCTGAATAAAAAACAGACTTATTCAATATGTGCGCGTTTCTATATGGCAAATGGAATAATTTCATGAAATCCCACATGCACATTCAAAAGCTGACTGCATGGCACCGACAAATCTGGCAACCGTTGTACAATTTTAAAAACCGGCCACTCACCACACCTACTGACCAACCCCCAAACCAGGCAAAATCACCTTTTCTAAGCAATTACTTCGAAATAAAGTGATGTCACGTGTTCCATAGACAAATTTGATTCCTTAACAAGCTTTTCATATGCTACTCATCATTCTTTTATCAAACGGCTGTGGTTGTGGAGGCGGGGTTTTCATCTGGGTCTCTTGATTATCGATTTTTGGGATCACTTAAGGACCATACTGTAGCCACTAACAGGACATGTTGGGCTCGAAACACTGGCTGCTTCCAATGTGTGTTTGTGCGTGTTGTGAATCGTGTTTATTCACACTCGCCAATCCGATCACTCAGGGTTCCCCTTTTCGCCAGCCGCGCGGATCCTCAACTCCCCCCTCATTCACACGGACATTTATCTTGGAGTGTCCCCACACCTAGGTCTTGATGTTAGCTCATGTATGACTCACACATCCGAGGTATAAGTACACACGCACAAACCCCACACACGGCACCAACGTGGTTGAGCTTGAAGTAAACGGTTGTGTCCACGTCCTCTCCGGTCTTCTTTTTCTTCAGCGCGGGTATCAGGGAAGCGCAATCGGGCCAGGGTTAATTCCGTGGCCCCGGCGCGGTTCAAGACCACATGCCTGGGGCCCCAACATAGGGATCGCAGTTGGACAGGCTGTTGCAGTGTTCAAGCCCATACTTAGAACTACAAAGACACTTTATTCTATATAGGATGAGGGACAATAATTGGCACAAGAGATGATGATAATGATGAAAATTTCATGAGCACTACCAGCTATCATGGTACTACGAAGCTTTACACTCAAAATGACTTAGTTGTCACACTTCGCACGCCCATCCACGTCGGTTTACATGGGGGAAAGAAGAACGCGTTGCTTTTTGCTCACTCGGGCGCTGATTGGTGCGATGTCAGAGGCTGCAAAAGCCAAGTTTGGCAGTTCAATCGGCTGACTGTGCTGGATTTCAGTCGCCGCAGATAGCATCAAGTTCCCAAAAATGTGATGCAGGAGCTTCACAAGGCTACATTTCGTGGTAGTTAGGTTGTCTGACACCTTGAACTAGAGCTTCGTGGAAAATTGTGAACGCATTGGCTGTCAAGGCGTCTGATTCTTCACAGCGACGTGGCCAAACGGACCTGCGTTGCAGACGAGGGCTGTGGCAACCACACGTGCCCACAGCGCAACAAAGTCGCCACACCGTTAGAAGAAGAAGAATTGGCGGGTGCATTGTCCGGGTGATGCTATCAATCACTCGCTGGGGGGAGCTGTCAGTGTCTCCAGCACAGATTTATAACCTCAGGAGCATCGCCACCGCTTGCTGTTTTGCCACGTCAAAGGCAAGGCCACATATCAGTCATGGTGATTGGCTAATGTGACCAGGCGTTTCGAATCAGTTGGGACCTCTTCAGAAAGGGTGGAATTGCTTCATTTAGCACCGCGAAAACAGGCTTAGTTCCTCGCCCAATTGCAGTCGTAAATGTTTGATTAATTGGTTAGAGAGGAATGTTACACTGGCGATGGCGATGAGGTTGTTTGGTTGCTTGGCATCTCGCAACAGCCCCACAAATTGACCAATGAGCGACGTGGCACAGGAAGCTACGCCTAAGTGCATTCTCAACTCGGGGTAGCATCGTTTCGGCAACATCAAAACAGTTACTGTAGCTTTTATTGCACTTCCACCTCGGCATTAGTCAAACCTCTTTATTTTCTTCAAAAATAACCGAGCTTTAAATATGTGACTGAGAGGCGCCTTCACGATGCCAGTTACCCAGTTCACGAAAGCCCACGAGCACACAATCAACAAGACGATGGTCTCTGGCACATTACGCGATCGTTGGACTCGAAAAATAGTGCACGGTTTAGTTTTTTTCAATTTCGTGCGCGTAATGTGAGTGCAGACCACATTAAACAGCGGTGCGATAAACGTAAAGCTATTCAAAAAGAAGTCAGATTATTTACTGCTGTAAGGACTTTAGAAAAAAATTAATATCAAGAAAATTCAGCCGGAAGCATTAAGCAAGTTATTTTTAATATGATCATTTCAGTTTATGATATTAAACTACCACCCAAAACGCCATCATGTGGTATTATCGATTTACGAAATGAGATCAGGTCTATTTTGTTTCTCATTGGTCGGGAATTCAACCAATCCGAAAACAGGAACACTAAAAGTAAAGAACACACCCAGAAAAAGTATCTTTTTTCTGTTTCTTATTGATAAGAAAGTCAGAGTGAGTTTGCCTAGTGTTTACCTCAGCCATTCCAAAAAAATTGTACTTTGCAGAACAGGAAGAAGCACGGGCGGAATAAAAGAACGGCAGAATTTACCTTCCACGCGACACGCATCATTGAAACAGCTGAAACTGACCTTAGTGTGGGCTGGAGGGCGGCCAGGCGTTCAGAGGCCTCGAGACACGTTCTTGCAAGAGCAACCTCTGGCATCTTTTTAAACCTCTGCAAAAAAAGGGGGACAGAAGGTTACCACACTCACGTCTTGTGATTTCGAAGTCATTCTTAACACAATTCAGCAAACCCGTCTGTGACCAAATATTTGTATTTTAAAAGGCCAAATATGCGGTGTTGGCAAGATTTGACCCTATTTGTCAAGAAATTAGCAATTAGGCGGGCTGGTTTCTGATAATACATCTGCAGATCGACCTAATTCAATTCGGAGACGTATTCGTCATTTTCGGTGACTCCAAAACTAAATTTAACCAAGTCTGAATGGCAGGAGTCGTGTGGTTTGAAGAATCACAAATTGTTGGGTTGTGTAATGGCTCCGTCACCATCATATAACCAGTTATCGATTTTCCATTCCATCGAATGAACTTTGGACGAGTTCGTGCGTGCACAAATTACTTCGCACCAGATCGTCACGCACATCTCGCTTGTTTACAATAGCCCGAGTTATGCAATTTCGCGACGACCATAGTGTCAGGAATTTCACCGAGACTATCAATCACTCGCGCCTCGCCAAATGACCACTGCAGAATCCGCATTCCATCACCACAGTTGCACGCTTCTTTGCTGTTGGTGTGCGTTTGTGTATTAATGAAAGCAGCAACGCCACTACACAGACGATCTTTCAACCAGCCTTGACCTGACCCTGCTAATCAACCAGAATGCACGTTCGTGCAACTGACGTCCGACTTAACTCAAAACCACGCAAAATCAATGTGGGAAGGTGTGGTGGAGGTGATTTTTTGCTCAAAACACAGGAAGGATCTTTGTGATTTACGTGGCACAAATGTGAACCCAGATCACTTGCTCTAACCTCATGGTGTTGCCATGGCAACGCATGAACAGGTAGTCTAGACGCCTACAAGGGCCAATCCAGAGCGAAGATTTGAGTGATCTACAACCCTTGGGTGTTTTGCCTACCAATCAGGTTATTTTGACCTTGCATTTAACTCGTGAATGTGAATTTTTACCGTGTGAATGGAGCAGAGGGGGGCAGTGCAATGCGAGAATCCACCACCCACGCACACAAATTCCACATTTTAATGGCGTGCAAACTCAGAGAGAGACCGGTTTTGTGATTAACCGCAGTGGAGGGTGATTGTGGACCCGTGACGCTGAGGTGGTGTCACCACTTTGCAATTCGCCAAATCGGCCACCAGCCGTTTAATCAATTTTTTTTCGTGGACAGTTTATAAAATTGCCCTTTATCCGCTTACATTCTGCTAAAAAAGAAGTAAAGTCCGAATTTTAGTAAAGACACCCAAATTTCTAGAAAATTTTGCCATCAAAAATGCACATTTTAGGGCGGAGCACTTAAAGTCGAGTTGAAAGTTGCCTCCCCAAATCCGTCACCACCTTTCACGGACTAAAGGGGCTCGTGCTTCGTGGTGGTAACATGCAGAGAATTTTATAAACCTTATCCAATCTGGTTTAAATTATCCCTTTTACCATACACTGAACTAATAAAAATATCGAAAAAACAATAGCAATTGCTATCAACGAAATTTCGTATATCCGAAAGTAAAATATGAATGCTCAACTTTCCCATTTATTTTGATCATAAGGCCGTCTAACCAATCAGAGCGCTACGAAATTATTTTGTGCCATATCATTGCGTTACATTACTTTAAGCTTATAGAAGCAGTAGTATTTAGAAGTACAAAATAATCGCCATTTTACAAATAAGGAAGTAGAAGTCGATTATAAAAAACCATTGTTCTTAGTCACACACACCCCTGTACCATCATATCGATTCACCCTAGGGGCCAGATGCTGCACTCCTTTAAATTAACAAAAGCGTGATTTGAACCAAGCGTGTGCAGGTAAGATCTATCCGAATCGAAATAACTACAATTAAGTTGGATGAATACTTGTGAAACATATAGAGGTTCCGTGTGGATTTGTCCATCAAATGGTCTAGTTTCTCCGGAGACGTTCGGGGTCATAATTATATGAGTTCCCCAAATATCAAGGATCTCAATTTAATCTATAGTTTTGTTCGAAAATTTAATTGTTAAATTCTCGACTTTCAGATGCGATGGCACAAATTTCAGTAAAAAATCGATAGTCTCTCGGCATTTAAATGGATAACTTTTTGGTGCATAGTTATTCTTGAAACAACACCAAAATTTAAGCATTCAAGGGTCTTTAAGTGCAAACATTTTTAACATTGGTCTTTACCATTCAAGCGCAATCAGAGCCTACACCTTCAAGTGCGATCAGGTTCTTTAGAAGTCCACAACTTCAATATTGTCATTTGATTGGCTAAGAGGAATATGACCTTCCACCCACAATCAGCATTGGGAGGTGTCTGACCTGAACTCTGATTGGCTAACACGACGTCAAAGGCATAAGAGGCCATCGGCACATGGCAATTGCGGTCTCGATAACCACAGCTAAGTACAGCCTTATAAAACTTTCAAACTAGGGAAGAAAGAATCACATTTTGAGAAATCAGTAAGCTTAGTGGTCAGCAGATATTTGTGCAATTATAAAAAATTGATCAGCAGTGGGAATATGAAATCAATATATTCTGGTCTGCGACATTTTTGATAAACAAGACCACAAGTTTGTAAGATGTCAGGTCGTGTTACCATGGCCGCCATAAATAGACGCATGAATTTGCCCTGGCTAAAATTGACGAAAGACCAGTACCCTTAAGCGCGTCTGCAGAAACAAGGTGCGATGATTGGCTGATTTCGGCAATGATTAACCAATCAGATAACCAATAATCGATTAACCAATCAAATTGCTCAAAAGTGGTTTGGCTAGGCATAACGACGCCGGGACCCTTAAACGGCGTGTGTGTCAGTGTGTTTCAAGGTGCAGCCGACGTCTAGGCACCCCCAGGATGATAGCGAGAATCGTCTACTACGGCAGTTGGTTATAACACCAAGTGACAATGCTTAATGCTTCAGGACGTAAACAGTGCGTGTATTGCGTGCGGACTGGATTTGTGCCAAGTGAATTTGTGGGTTTTTAAATGTCAGTTTTCATCGCATGGGCTTCTTCAGGTACTTTTTAAAACCCGCATGCAAGAGCAACCATGGACACACGTAAACAAAAGCACTTGTTGTCCACTGAGGGACTCAATTTATCGATATGAACTCTGCCAAATCGCCAGCCTACACCGAGGCCACTAATCAACACTGAATTTCGCCAGCGGGCACCACTCATCACCCACAAGTGCCAGATTAGTTCTCCCACTTAATCCGACAAATTAATGCGCTTTTTTTTCTCTCTCTCTCTCAGAGCGACTGGGCGTATGATTTAGGACAAAAACATGAAGGTCAAGGTAATTATGTCCAATGAAGTTGCAATAATTAGAGACTGTTGCATTTAGCGTGAAGTGGTGCAGCATCAAGGCAACCGATAGTGACCTGCCTAGTTGATAGGCAGCCACGGGAGAATTTGTGTGCTTGTGACCATAACAGACTTCCAACACACGCTAATCGCCACCGTGTGCTCAGAGGGATGCAGTCTACCGTGGTACAAACCACGTGACGGGCTAAGAAGAAGAGGAAGGTGATTGGACAAAAGTACAGTTTGGAAAAATGGCGACACGTTGCATCCCTTGAAATCGGCATTCCAATGACAGCAAAGCAAAGCAATTAATTGATCCAGAGCGCATTCACGTTTGCCGCCCTTGTGAGCTGGGCCACATAATTTACATTCGGAATTTTGAGAAACAACGAAATCGTCAAAGGTGACAACAGTAACCACTAACCGACAATCACCGTCACTCAACTTGGTAAAACCATGTGAATGGGCATGTGGCCAAACGAGTGTGTCAAGCACACTTGGAATTTGAGCTCATTCACACTTTAAATTGCCCTTTTTTGAACCAAACCCGATTGTTGTTTACGCAGTTTTCGAACCGCACAAGATTGACACTGAAAAAAAGGTAAGACAAAAGTGCATCAGGTCCCTTTCAAACCGTGGTCACCCCAAGCATTGTTTTTTCCCAATTTAACTTTGATTAATCCTAACAACTGGCAAGAATAGTATACAGAGGAGAAAAGATGTATGACTAGAGACGAAAAACAGTATTTTTCATGACAAACCAACCATTGTTTTTATTTGTAACGGAGGTAGACGAGGTCAAATCCGATACAACAGCAATTAAACAGGCTAGGATGACGGACACCGTCTTTGCTTCAAGCAGTTCTAGGAGATTGCATTAAAATGGAGTCGCCGTATTTGGTTAAAACACACAAAAACGAGGTTTGGTAAAGTACAATAACACGAACTTGTCTCGGGTCTTGTGCTTAAACAAAAAATACCGCCATCTCTAATTTAGATAGGTCCTGCACGTGGAATTCTACTTTGAAATATGTCCGTGGATTAAGTAAGGACTGTGACGAATCCCTGGGATGGGGGGACAAGCGATTCGTCTGCCAAATATGTGATCTCAAGGCAATCAGTCCTGCCTCGTATCATCAACTTGATTAATGAAGCTCCCATCAACCCACATGCACACACCCGGAGAGCATTCTAGGAAAAGACAAACAGGCTTGATTATTGGCTGGTTTCGGGGCTGATTAACCAATCAGATAACTACAAAATGGAGATCTTTACAAAAGACGAGATGACTCCCAAGTACCCAGCGTGCACAATTGTGCTATGTTCAGTGTCCACGTCATTCTGACACGGAACCTGAAATCACATGTGTCACCAGTTCTTTTTGCTGCTTAAACAACTGTTTGCGCGTGTGTTTTGTGGTGAGAGGCGGTGGGGAGATTTCATGAACGCAGATGAATCATCTACGCGCTGAGAAAGTAGCCTAGTGCTGACACCAACGCGCGTTGACGTTCGCGAGGCCTGTTTGTTTGTCTCGCATTTGCCGTTCGCGGTGAAGAGATTTTGGCAGCAGCTAAAGTCCCCTTGGCACAGTTTTTGTAACGGTGTGCAAAGCCCGTACTTGCTCGGCCAACAAAAGTCTACCATGCCACACCTGATGCATGTTTACTGCTTATTACTGTCACAGGCAACCTCTGGCAATGTTGGCTGCACCTGAAAAGGGCCGCGTAACAGACACTCGGACGTGCGGTTAGCCAGTCGTAACAGCTGTCGCGCTTCGTTGGAGAAACTAGTTACTTTCTGTGGAATGCCATGTGCCGTCGGTGTGGCAAGTCTTTTTACAACCTCACTAGTTAATAATCATCATAAATGACCTAATGGTGATTAGCCTGTTTGCACTAGAATCCCCTCAAACACTCAAACTTCATGGATCGGTGGAAATTAACAAAACATCACGATGGCAGCATCATCCTCATCATCAACATCATCACCAACTGCGTGCGACATGACCATCCTGTGTTGCGTAGATGCAAGCAGGTCACATTTAGATAAGTTAAAGTAGGTGACACCTCTAGGCAGTACACCCAATCCGTCACCTGTGACACTTTACCCGTGGCCACGAGACAGTTAACCTGTGCATTTGGGGTGACAGACACATAGTAAACTGTCGTAGAGGCAGATTGCAAAGTTATAGAAACTGCTGCTTAGAGAATTGTACTTTTATTAGACCTCAAATCAACCCACTTGAACCAAAGATGTGATTTTCTTTGTTGCATAATTGAATGAATCGCAAAATACAGCTGGCCAGAGAGGTTCATTTCCCCATCTTGACAGAAACGGATTGACGCTTGTCCGTTCAGGGTTTGACGTGTCGTCCGAATGCCACCGACACTGCCTTCCTGTCACCTGTCAACGACACCCAGAGCGTGACTGCGAGTGCCATGGAGACGTCCTTTGCCAACCAATGCTAACCACCACCACCACCACCCACTGCCGGAAATAGCAGCTATGTAAAATTAGCCAGCTGTGTGACAAGGTCGGCTGTGCACTCCCGAGTTTATCAACACTCCCACAAAAACCAGCTTCCCTGCGTGTGTACCTGAAATTGACAAATAGCGAGCCTTTTTCCCGCGCAGTGGAGGCGGCCACTGCCACGTGAGACGCAAACCACAAAATGCAAGGCTTGAAAAGTTGGCGCAAAAAGTACGCCAAGTGCATTAACGGTTTACGTGATTACCTGGCTGCTTTGGTGAATGTAATTACACGATTTCGCCAAGTCCGAAAGGTCAAAACGATTTGATCTAGTGCTCTTCTGTACTTTTTTTGGATTTTACCCACGGTTTGATCGTGGTTTTTCTCTTCAAAGCTACCGGGAACAGGCAGCTATGCACAACGTAGTCCTTGAGAAAATTATGCAACGGCTGTGTGACAGCAGTTGATATCATAAGCACGTTCGCATAAATTAAACTGGTTGTTTTGGGGTTTTCACGAAAACAACTGTATGCTGACCTAGTGTAAAGTTGTCGAGGTCATCTAGTCGCTTGGTTGAAGGGTTAAAAATGTGCCGCTATCGTGATTATTTACATACAAAACGCTTGGATAATCTAATTAGACGTAAGGGCAGTAATTACTTGAAAAAAAGCACATCAGGGCCATAGTGACTGCTTGAGAGGCACTAACTAGACAAACGAGTGTCCTTGAGTTGTAATAAATTGTTTTAACCAACGCGCTTTAATTGCTAATTTAAATCAATAACATACAATGCACGCCAGGTCCTTAAATTTTATTTAAATCCTTTTGTCAACTTATTCCAACAATCATTAGCTTTTGTTCTTACGAGATATAGAAAGTTTCACGGATTTTTTGGATGTCAAAATGATTAAATTGGGTGGATGAGACCGTATCAGATTAACCTTTATGTGGTTGTGCGAAACACCAGTTGTACTAGTTGACATTGATTTGAGAACATCTTAGCTTGCCAGAAGATAATGCCTGAAATTGACTTTTCAAAGCAGCAAATGCTCACGCAACTGGAGCGCCAAGCTCTGGCACGTACGCCATTGGGAGTGCGCGCACGTGGTCGCACGGCAGCGTAGCCTTCGATCGATAAACAACAAGCTGAGTCGTTGATTGGGCACTTCAAGGTTGCTGGTACAGAAGCGTCAAGTAATGATGAGCATATGTGTCAGAGTTGTGACCGATAGGACACATTGACAAAGCTCTTAAATACCGGCCAGAGTGGCCAACAATAAAATAATCTTGTGCTTAACGTCAGAGTACCTTCTGAAAATAACTGTCGGTTTATTTAAAGAGACCACAAATAGGGGGGCTTGCATCTCATACATGCTGTACAGTTTGAATTCAAGATTTTGAACATTGAAAGATGAGGCAGAGTCAAGCTGAACTAAAGCATGCGTTAATGTGCTTAATTCCCAATGGCCAATTTGTCAAAATTTTCGAGAAATTTTTGCTTTTATTTTTGCTTTAAAAATATCTAAGATTAGGATAAGTAGCTACCATCAATACGCAAATAAAAATATGAAAAGACTTGAGATAGCAATTGTTACACTACGTCAATGTGACAGGTAAGTCGTTAATAATTTTGATATTTGGCCACGTCTTACTAGTGCGGATGCTCTGTAGGCATCGTTAATCAAAAGCAGCAGGGAATTTTCTACGAGTCACCAAAAACCATTTTATTTCACTTGAAAAATATTGAAGTTCTAAATGCACACATTTAACAGAGGCTGACAACACAGATATTACAGTAACTCATTGGAAAATAACAAAACACACTTAATAATTTGAAACAAGCAAAAAAATTTTTTCGTTTTTTCTTAAAAGTGTTGGGTTAATGTTTATAAATTGCAAAAAATGAGATAAAAGTAATTAATAAATTTGGTAAATAAGAATCTCCCCAGTTCATAAATTACTTTCGGACAAAAATTATTGCCTATTAGGTCATGAAGTTCCTTAATTACCAAAAAATGTTAATTTAAATCCAATTTAAATAAGGGAAACAAGTTGCACTCTATTACTTACACCAACTGATCTTTTATGATAATAAAGTTCAGAAAAGTAAAGTTTAAAAGATTTAATAAATAATTTGTGGATTTGACTACACATTTCCAATAGAAAACGTCTTGCATCGTTTTATGCAGCAACATCTGACTTACTAAGGAATTACAGTTTCCGAGAAACCGAGATTCTATTGAATCTTCGCATTTTATTTGTTCTTTGGGCATCAGCGATGTTGAGGAGACATCATTTGCCATACAAAATCCACCTTCGATAACCTCGTTTTCCGGTGACTTTAGACCATTAACTGCTCCATTTAAATCATTGGTATTTTGTGGGATATTGCAACGTTTCTGGCGAGACTCAATAGGTTTGACAATCTTGTTAAGCAAGGGGTCATTTGGTATTCCGAAAGTAAATGAAGACTGCAAAGACTCAGATGAAAAATAGTTTAGATCCAATGAGCGAACATTATGCAGCGACGTTTGTGGTAAATATAGGGATAATTTCTTGACGACATCAGAAGTAATCTTTTTCAATTCGCTCGCAGCTGCATCGATCTCAGCCACATCATCTGCTGGCCAACCTTCTGGTGCATATCCCAAAGATCTATGTTTTGTATTAATAAAATTTTACACAAACCTTGTAAACTTGCTAAGGAAGCTTTGCTTCATCCTTCAGTCACAGGTTATCGCATGGCATACCAAATAGGCGCGCCTTGCATACGCCAAAGTTTTGATGTTTTCGATATGTACAAATAAACGCAAACTAAAAACATTAAATGCTTTGTTGTCATAAATTTAAAAAAAAACTATATTCTGTTATTTTGATACTGTCAGGTGAGCAAAATATTTTGCATATCTATTAATGAAAAGTCCTGCAGATCTGAATAATTTTTACCCTATGTAATATTTTCTGAACTTGCAAAAGTTACCATCATGCGTGTAGAAGCCTCTAAGTAAAATAGGTTTTATTATACTAACACATGTCACCTTACATTAAAGATTTGCGATTGAGCTTTTATTTTGAAAATGCCATTTAATCCAAGTTTCCTGAATAATCCCTTCGAAGCTGGATATTCGTCTTTACGTACTTGTAGGAAGCTATCTAGGCGGCTTATTAAAACTGCCGTAGCAGTGGCAACAAGGAGTTTATAGCATTTACAGTTGTTCAAATTACAAAATTTGGATTTTTTATGCCTGAAAAATTGCGATTTCAGAAGCATCTCTTGTCCATTAATAAACATTAGTTTTAACACCTTAAAGAACATCTCGGGAAACACGAAAACGACGAGTTGTATTGTGGCTAAATTTAAATTTCCCGATTTCCTTTTTTCTTTTGGTTTCTTGAAAGCACCTACACATTTCTCCCACTATTTTTTTTCCTAAATAAGACATTAGTTAGATACCCCCTATAGAAATGTTTTTTCTGGCTCAAGAACTGCAGATAAAAAATGCTGTAAAGAATTTAGGCTCTGCTTTTATAGTACATATTAGCGCAAAATGTTAAAATTAAGGTAGCCACCTAAAAAAATTCTGTAACATCACTCTTACTACCTGAAGATGTGTTACTACCTTTGTAAAACCTGGAATCATTTCAAGACCACTGCTGCCAACGGTGTCCCAAAGTGAAGCGTTGAATAACCCGCGTTTTACTGAACATCAGACGGCATTCGCGAGTCGGGGGACCAGCATTAAATTTCCAAATTCCGAAGACCTCTACTTGGGCTATCGAATGGACAGAAAAGTTGTCAGAGTAGCTGCCAGAAATCCGAGAGTTACAAAGTTACATGTGAGGGGAAAAGCTACCTTTTTAAGCTATCAATAATGTTGTCAATCCTTGGCAAAACATCTAACAGAGACGCATACAAATCCAGCCAACTGATAATGTATAGATAGCGGTACAAACTTTTGAATGCGTGTTCATCCTTTTTTTTCTTCTAGTGCCACGAGGTTTACGTGATCTTACATTTGAATATCAGAAAATTTACAGACTAGCATTGATAAAGTTCACATAAATTAACTTCAAAGTATTCAATGATAAGCTAATTTTGGACTACCGTTGTCATAGTTAGCTCATCGGGTTATCGGAAACCCACGAATTCCTCAACAAATAACAGGCAGTTTTCAAAACCCATGAAAAAATATCCATTTCTGCCATACCGCCAGGCTTAAATACGCCAAATTTTAGGTAAGATGGAGAGACCCATGTCCTAACTAAAACGATAATTAAAAAATCCCCCAGGAATTCTCGTTTACAAGAAACGTAAATTCCTAACTACAAATTAAACTTATATAGAAGTGGCAATAAACTGTCATACCTGACCGAATTTGAGAGCAAATCGGCGTTAACTTCCAGTTAAAAAAGACTAAACTGGCTGCAAGCGCGGTGGTGGCAGTGTTGCGATTCGGGGCATAAATAAGCCACAAAGTAACGACAGCTTCAGCATCCGAGACCATTTCGATTGACAGTTGGCATTACTTAACCTTCAAACTGCCGTATTTGTGCACTTGTGTCAGCTCCACTTCAATTTTCGAACCAAGTGGATGAATTTTAATTTTAGCATGACGTCAGAAATTGCCCACAATAGCCCTGGATTACCGGGTCTGTGGAGACAGAGACGGAGGAAACGAGTGATTGACGCAAATGTGCACGGAAAGCGTTTGTTTAAATCCCTTGGTTTGACCCAGATCTGGGCCACGTGTGGCGACACGCCGGTTTGCGTAGAGATGAAGCCGGTATGCACAACCAAGCTGGCGGCATCGCTGCTTTACGCGTCTCCAGACCCTGGCAACCGACGGTGCACAAGCTCACCCCAGTCTCTTCACCGTAAACATTCGTGCACCACACGAACTGATAACTGCATCCTACAAAATTTGGTCTAAAGTACATATTTTAATGCCAATTCAGTCACTCTGACTCAACCAGACATCATCTTTACCACGTAAACACATGCCGCGTAAAGCCAACCACCTTGAACCTTGCCAAATACTGCCCCAGTGACCGTAAGCATCGTGTCCTTGACGTGATCTGCCTGATAGTGTCTACGCGTCAACTAGTCTTCTCAATTTACCGAGTAACCAGCTACAAGACTTGAAGATGTGCAGACATCAGGCAGGTTTGCCACTCACAGTTGTGACACGCGTCTTGAGTCCTCTGTGACGGGTGCTGGCAGTTTGTGGTACCCTGGATTAATACGAACCGAAGCGTTTTTTTGTCTAAGCACGCCGAAAGCACAGCTCATGGAGTCCAAAACGCGGTAGTCAGCTTCACGCCAATTCCAGAATCGAGGTCACGGCCATCTCCTGAACACAGGAAGCGTTTAAACAAAACCTTTTTTTGCGAAACGTTTTTCCTTCTGCAAGAATAAACCGACGGCGCGCCATTAGTTGAAAACAAAAATAAAGCCCATGATCATAAACGGTTGCATGATTGCGTATCAGCATTTCGTTTCACTATTGCGTAACTTATGGTGATAATTGAGGTTCATTTGCAACTGGCTAAACTTGCATGCGTTGGCCAAATCAATCGACGTCGTGTATTGATTGATTGCAAAACTTGGTGCAGGATTTGAAATCAGCTTCAATGCAGCACATTTTCATGAGAGCTTCTGTGTTTTGACATTGAAAAAAAAAACTAATTTTTAACTGTCGATCCAAGTAAAGGATTTGAATAATTTGTCCCAGTTCCAGCATTTGGCAATCGAGCGGGCGTGCCCCCATTTTAACAATCGATTATATAAGCGTAGTGCGCTCATCGAATTTAAACAAAGAAAATACACATTTTTAAATGAAAGACATCTATGCTGCCCGATCACACCTTTGAACCAGCTGTGCCTCTTCAAAGCAAGGGGTTGCATTAACTGCGCACGTTGCTCCACCGTGTTGTGCTTGACGTGTTTTTCACAATAAGCATCACTTTCAAGGTTGTTCTTCGCATGTAGACAGCTGGCAATCGAGACACATACTTGTGAAATGTGCCAAACATTGATTTCACTGTTTGGCATTGTGCTCAGAGGCAATTGCCTATCCACAGACAACCTGTCAGCCCGGCACTCGCTGTAAATCCCTTGTGCAAGTAACTCTGCACAAACACCAGTCATGTCCTGACCGGCGAATCTGGTGTTTCGGTCAAACAGGACACCGCGGTGTGTTCCTTGGTTTGTTTTAGTTGTAGACAATAAGGTGGGCAAGGACCAGTAACTGTTTGAATTCCCTCCTTGGAACTTCTTCATCACATCCACTTTCATGATGTTTCAGTAAATTCTCAATAACTCGTACGGTGGCCGGACACACTTACCGCAGGTATTATAAGTCGGCAATTTGGGCGTTTGGATTCCACAAAGTGGAGACACTTCTAAATTCCCGTCTGGGGTGGAGGCCATCCTTAAACCATTCTGAAATTTAAATACCTGCTGTCGCCTCAAAAAACAACCATCCAACAACCGCAGTTTCATTAGTTCCTTCGTGTGGCAGCTGATTTTATGAGGAATGATAGGTGGGAGGGGATAATCGAACTCAACGCTCACAGTTTGGTGTCATGACTTTCAGGGCCAGAAATTGGCATCACCGCTTAGTCCAGAGTGCGTATCCTTCTTGGCATCCTCCGCCAGCACAACTTCAAGAACCCCCGCAATCGAGGCTTGAAAGTGGAACATTTTCAAATAATTGTCTGATTTATTAGTGCCAGAACGACATATTCCTTACAGTATGCCAGCCGACAGGGTGAAGTGGGGATTGGTGAGGTCAATTGCAGTCATAAATGCAAATCTAGCTGGCAGATCTGCCCTTCAGAGCAATTTCACCGTCAAAAATGGAAACAGTGCTGGCACAGCTTTGGGTCTTGAACCACGGACGGCATTTTCCTAGATTGTAAACTAGGAAGGTGGAATGCGTCAGTATATTCACCTCTTTCGCAGACTGGAAAACGAGGCGAAACTGAACGTGTCAGATGCACATCACGATTTAGCAGTTAATTTGCCAGAATGGGAACAGGCCATGTCACTGCGTGCTTCCAAGCAACCTGAAACTTTGTTCGTCTGCCGAGTCAGACCACTCAAACAGCAGTTGGTCCCAAGTTAGGCAGAAGGACCGGCGTCGGTTGGCCTAGCCTCCCTGTGGCCGGGGTGTTGTCGACCAACAAGGAAGACCCATCGCGAAATTAGTCGCAAACGGCTCTGGCTACCTCACGTCTTTGTCCACATCCAGTGTCGCTCACATTCCCGCCCCACAGCGTCGATCGACCCTCATTAGCACTACCAAGGCACTGCCGTTAGTCTTACAGTCAACTGCAGAACAGAACTGCTTCACAAATGCAAGGCGTGATTCTCGATCGCTATTAAACTACAGACTAGGGCGAAACCCCCGCACTTTTACCAAACGAATCAGTGGCTCCTCACCAAATACTCAACCTTTAACCATTTTCTTGTAACGCTTCTCTTGCTCCAAGCACTTTCAAATGGCAAACACCCACTCTCGAAGTCGGGTGATGTGATTCGGTAGATTCCGCCTACCGGCCGCTTGGGGGTCAGACGGCGGTGTAAATAATGCGCTGGTAACAAGCCCCAGTTTCCACGAGAAAATAAACACGTCGAGGTGGCGCACGTAACACACAACAACAACCGCTAGCTCTAAATATGCGCTCTCTACTCCAGGAATATGCAAGTCTGTGTGTTGTTAAGCCAGTAAACGTCTTTTAACCAATCGAATGCTGTGCCAAAGACTAGGATAATCAGCTTTTTATCGACAAAGTGGTGCTCACAGAGCGAGGAAAGAATAATCCATGACTCCAGTGAGTGCCACACCACGAGCATTCTGGTTCCCTTACTCGCACAAAATACCCGCCTTCCGGACGACCAATCCGTGCTTCGATGTTAACGACTGCTCCTTCTTCTTCGCTTCCAACTCACCACCTAGCCACCACCGACGGAAACACGAACACTCAGAGACAAGGGATGAAGAGGAGACAATAGCTAATCACATATCTAAAGAGAAGGACGAGCAGGCGGGGTGGCAGGAAGAAGTCAGGATTGTCTCACGATAAATACTGACGAGACCCTAGGTTACACAGAGGGTGGAGTCGAAGGCAAAGACAGAGAGATTAGGGGGTAGAGGCGGCGCACAAGTAAAAAGCGAAATCAGAAGAAAACGGGGAGGTGGGATGTGATGGAGGCCGAGGAGGAGGAGGAGGAGGAGGAGGAGGAGATTGCCCAGTGTGTCACTGTCCTGATTGTGAGGCCCCGATGCAGGCGGACTAAGTGGATGCGAGTGGCGTGATGGACGGATGGCGGAGGCGCACGCACGCACGCACACACACACGCGCGTGCACGCACGCTCTCGCCAGTCCTAGATGCGGTCTGCGCCCAGCATGATGCTCTCTGACTCATAGAGGCTCTCGTGTTTCGCCATGATGCGCATCAGCGGACGCAAATTCATCCACCAGTTGTCGCGCGGCACGCGGTGCTTGAAGTCAGTGGCCTTCCTCAGCTCGCCGACGCGCGTGTACTCGTAGGACCGCCGTACCAAGCCCAGGAGAACACACGTATCCTCGTCCGTTGTGACCACGGTGTCTAAAACAGATGTTATTTTGCCAAAAAGTAGACTGTACCGTCTTACACAACTTCGGTTTATGTGCGTGACAAGTAAACCAACAAATACAGTGGCGCCAAGTTTTACACATCGCGGCTATATCGGATTCTGATTGGCCCACTCTTAGCCAGTGGTCTGATCACAAGAGTTGCAGATGAGGGGAAGAGTTTGAATGCGCTGCAGTGCAGAGACGGAATTCGCCTACCTTCGGCAGTGAGGTAGGTGTTCATTTGGTTGTCCAACCACTCAATCGCCAGACATCCCAACTTGATGCCGAGAATGCGGTCAAACGGTGATGGCTCTCCGCCCTGTTGAATGTGTCCCAGCACTGACATTCTAGAAATGCCAAAAAAAAACATTATCACAATAAAAATACAAATACGACACCGAGTTTGCCCAGTTTCGTGCCTAAAAATGACCACTGCCAGATGATCTTCACGATGCCATTCTGACAGAACACTCCTGGTTGTTTTCAGCAACGATGGAGCCAAGGTTGATTTCACGCGCATGAACACACGTGTGTGTCGAAGGAAGACGTGCGAGGTCTTGCGTTGTCGCAGTGAAAACCGATTCCCTTATGATTGGCAGATCCTGGCTGTCACTCGTTGGTTTTCTCCCAAAACATTTTCACTGATTGCAGATTACAAGCTTCGTACGTAATCGACTAGCTGTTCATTGGGAGCAGTCCAAGGCGCGTAACATGTTTGACAGCGCAACACACCACAGGTGCAGCTAAGCGGCTCTCGGTGTGGCGGACTAAGGTCACGACGAAAAAGCGGATTTAGAAACACACATTTAAACCAAAGTCCAGTCAAATTCGCACGTGCTAGCAAAAGTGCACGAAGCCTGGAATTATCGTGGATCAAAACGATGTCTGCGTGGTGTGCCAATTCTAGCCGTTCCCTAGTCCGTTTTTTATAGACTGTTTTAAGAACATCATCGGCAGGTGTCAACCGACCGATTCACTAGAGGACGCACTTCTAAGTCCCTCCAACACAACAATAAACTCTCCAATTTGACATCACGAATAACCACTGGTGGAATTTAGGCACCATTCGATGTGGTCAGTGCAAGCTCATCACACCGACGCCCTGATCGCTATCTTCAAGTGATATTACTTCGAACGAGTCACTTTTCAACCCAACGATAACGCGCTTTGAAAGGGGACAATTAACTTGAGTTTGAAATGCTCAACGCAAATGCTGATTGGCTGTGTTGTGTGAGCTGCCTTCAACGCACGAGGAGCGAACACATCGAGTAGCCAATCAGAATTGAGACATTTTGAGGTATTTTTAAAATTGGTGCTCTTTGGTGTATGTGTACGAAAAAAGATCACAATATTAGAGAAAGCACATCTATAATTAGTGGTTAGATTAGGAATAACGCAAAATGAGCAACCAATGGAAATACAAATGTGAGACAAATTGCCAACACACACGTTGCCCGTCGTCGCCGGGCTTCTCATTCTGTAGGAACCTCGTAGACGGACAGACACACAACGAGCTACCAAAATAAAGGTCAAAGGTCATGACAGCAGCGAAGCGCAAAGATCGAGACAGCTTACCGACAATCGAAAATGCCCTGTCCCTCCTCCGTGTACAGTTTGTGGATGAAGTCGGTGGTGTAGTTCTTGTTGGCGGACTCGGCTCGCAGAACAAGACCACGCTGGACGTTCGAGGCCATCTTGGCGCGCAGGTGGATGACATCCTCTCGCAGGTCGTCGATGCCGAAGGACTCCTCGTGGATGTAGGCGGCGTCAGCACCTCCTGCCACAGCCCCTAGGGTTGCTAGGTAACCGCAGAAGCCGCCCATCGTCTCTACGACAAAGACACGCCGTTTCGTACCAGTGGCGCTTTGCTTAATCTTGTCGATGGCCTGCCAACGGAAAGAAAATCTTGCATAGTCCAATCGCAGTTGATTATTCTTGAAGGTACGAGTCATCGAGCTGTGCCACCTGAAACCACACAACAGCCACATCAAGAGTGTCGTGATGTCGTTGAACAAAACCGAATAGAGCTACTCCTGAAGCAGCCAACACACGCTACATTGGCGTGGTGTTTAGCCACCACAGCGCCATGGGAGGAGGTGAATGACAGGACTTGGCGAAATTCGTCTACACGTGAGATCCGCAAACCGGTAAGACAGGGGGGACACACAGATAGGGGTGGTAAACGAACTGTTGTTTATGTACGTCCAACAGCACGGCGCCATTTCAATGACGACACCAAGTGAAGGTGACAGGGTTACTGGGTCAACAGTGGCTGCGCCAGGTAAACACGCACACACAAGCTCCGCTGGGTGCGCCGCGCTCATGTTGGGGAGCGCTCTGAGACGTGTCCGACCCAAGCAAGTACCTATCAATCTGGGTAAAGCACAACACGTGGAAGTCAGTTGTTGCCTGGTAAAGGCACGAAATCAGCACTTACGAGGGTGATCTCGTTGAGAGCGGTGTCAGCGCCCAGGGAGAAGTCGGTTCCAGGCACGTTGTTGCTGATGGTGGCGGGGATCATGAGCATCGGGATGCAGAGCTCCTTGAACTGGCTGCGTCCCTCCACCAGTTCGAGCATGCACTCGAAGGCCTCAAAGCCCCCAATCACAAGAAGCCCACTGATTTTGTATTCCCTCAGCTTCGCCGCCACATTCTCCATGCCAACTTCCCTGGGGGTCGGACTGTGTGAACAGATGGAACGATTAGTGGGCTTGAAGTGCACATGTTCTTGATAAAAACGGACCTTTCAACATTCGCGTGGCTTAGTTACGTGTCGGAAGCGAGTGACGGTGAAAGGGCAACTCCATACACGTGGCTATTTCAGCAATCATGCGCTCTCTCGAACACCGACGCCCGGATCGTGGACAAACTACGACAACCTGACGTGGAGGACGCACGCGTTGGGCCAACTTCACCGACTAACAGCGAAGGGACGTTTATGGAGCACACGCCATGAGGTCTGGAGAAAAAGCCCTAAACTATAGTGGTAAATGCAATTAAACTCTTGGGCTTTGCAAGGAGATATGTGAATACTATGGAGTTTGCTGCTTGGCACAACACACTTGATGGCGAAGAGATGTCGTGCCGTAGTTTGTGTCGCTCTTGCATCATCACTTCATTACTTGTTTACAAGTTTGCAAACTGGAATCACACTTAGTCCACATTTTGATTAAAAGAACCACAAGATTTCCACAAGAAAGACAGTCAACGGCTATGGCAAAATGAGTAAAATACGTGATTTGAAGAAGTTGCACTTTTTACCACCCCCTACACGTCTACGACGGAAGAAATCATCGATTGCAGCATCGACCAATCAGATCTAGGCCTTCAGATGTAGAGTTGTGGTTTAATCTCTTGATATTCTAGCCCATAAAAGGTCATTAGAAAGAACTTAGAATGCGCAGCTTAACACAATCATGACGAGATGGACCGTTGATGCCAAGCTTACCGTCGAGTTCCGAGGTTGGAGCCGCCCTGAGCGACCCAGCCCCTGACGTCGTCCCAGCGGATGTCGCGCACCTCGCCGTTCACCAGACCCCGGAAGCCCTCGAGAATGCCCATCACACGGTAGCCCTTGGTGATGGCGAGACGCGTGAAACTGCGCATCGCCGCGTTCACCCCGCCTGCCGGGGCACCCACGTTCACCACGCCGACGCGCAGCTTCGCCTGAACACCACAAAGCGCACACGTTAGGGTTGTGGGCCTGCTAGCACTTAGCCCACGCAGACGCGGCAGTGTTAGAACTCGTCCAACATTCCACCCAGTGCTAAGCGCCTACCACACCGACAGATTCACTACTACTAGTGACCACTGAGGCTACAACATCCAGGTTCTATGCAAGCCTTGCTAGTGCATGAGGCTGTGGTCTGCTAGTGCACGAGGCGATAGGTTTTTAACGCACTAACAATATCGCACAAACAATACCGCTACACGTAGGGCTTCAAGACGCTAAGAAAACCTGCGCAATTTGGGTGTAAAATCAGCACAAACACGAATAAACAGCGAGCGAGTTAAACAGAACAAAATCAACCAGTTAAGCAGTGAGGTATTTGGGGCAGGTGAATTTGCCTCTTGGGAATAGAATCAACGCTCACAAAATACTGCAACAAAAGCGGTTTTTGAAAAAAGCAAAAAAACGTTTATATGCAATGTGCGCAAGTGAATTCAAGCGGAAGTTGGTCAGCACTGGATTAGCCGTAGATATCAGAAGCGTTCACCACACCGATCGATTCATTGGTTCCAACTAATGCAACATTAGAATTCTATGCAAGCCTTTCGAGTCCAGTCGGTTTGTGTTTTTGTGTGAATTACACCACTAATCCACTAGTCTCACTACTTGTGGTTGTTGCAATTTTCCGAGGTAAAACGCATGATTTCAGTGTTAGACTACGCTACAGATGAAGGGGCTAAGCCCAACGCTACAACGCGTGGTGTGAGAGTGATAGCACACAGTGTGGGAGGTGCCAAAGGCCTCTAGAAACGGATTAGGGAGTCATGAATTGTTGTGCAACCTCAAAGCCATTGCTTCTTCAAGCCCACTGTCCACTGAACGCCAGACACGACGTTGTTCGGCTGTTCGACAGGAGAAGGCCGGCTATCACAACGGCTTAAATAGAACAAAGAGGGCACCAGAGAACATGATATCGCCGAACCGTTCTTGTAAATCCTGTTAAATCACGTCTGCGACCACATCTCGATCAAGTCCGCCACCTGACCACTCTCAAAACATTCAACAGTCAAGTTCCCATTGTCACGGACCGTCTTATTTTCCCCAAGAACCAATGAGTGAAACCAAGCTAACTTCAGCACGCAGTCACTAGTCACATATAAGTAGACACAAAGCATGAAAGCACTAGCGAAAAGGCACAAATTCGACATCTCTCCTGTGGCATCAACTGGGCAACACTAAAGTACAACCATAAACCACATGGAACTCTTCTTCCAAGGCGTAGAACGTCGTCTACATCTGCGCTTGGGGAGGCTAAACCTGATTGGTGGAGTGGGTAAACCAGGCTTCTGATTGGGTAGCCTCTAAAGACCACATGACCGACGTCAGGCTGAATTTGGCAGATTGAGAGAGGGGGTGGATGCATTATTAGGAAAAAACCGATTGGCAGTGAAAAGAGGTAAGCAATTAGGATTAGGACAAAACGGACAGAGCAACACAAGAAAGGCAACACGAACGTACCATGACTGACGGCTAGTGAAATAGACAAGACACACATGCAATGTAAACGTAAGGAAGTACGGTGCGTGCATCACCGTTTAAAGGCATTCAAGCAAGCCAACATTTGAGATAATCGATGATGATTAATTGAAAATCAATTCTGCTAGGTTGAACCAATTTTTGATCGAGACTTCAAGCGTTATCAGTTTGGTGCAAAAGCAATGTCCGCTTACAATAGGCTTTAGTTAAATTAAAGAAACCCAAATGGAAATGCAGTTGTCGATAAAAATGTCAATTCGAAGACGCGTGTCTTGACGTACAAGGACGAACAGTATCGTGATGCAAGAAGACATTTTTTTCGTCGACCAATGAGAACCGCTTTCGATTTAAACATGCTTTGCAACGACGCAGTTGATGATGACAGATATCTGAGGTTCTTGTTTGACTGCTATCTAATGAATCTCCGGCATTACGAATGAGATGCTGTTGGACTGATCTTCGTCGTCGACTGCTCCAAGGTCGACGGCATGTAACACTGTGGCAGTAATAAGCGCGTCTCAAGAGTGGTGTTTGAAGTTGCCGCGAAAGCATTACGTCGTCACAGATTGTCTGGGGAGAGTTTGTTTGGAGCCAATTTTCCGATCGTAGAAATCTTCCAGACACCGTTTGAACCCGAGACGATCGAAATGATTCGGTGACCTTAGAAAGAGGTGCTAGTCAGACGGTGTAAGTTCAGACGAACTCGGAAGGTGCAGGAAAACGCTCCAGCCAATCTCCTCCGAGAGATTTATGGTACGGTGAGCATTTGAAGTGATTGCGTGATTGCTATCTACCGGTTATGAGTGGATACCTCCTTCAAAATTTGTTCCAACAATTCCCTTTGAATATGTCGCAAAAGTAGGGATCCGCAGAAAACTACAAGTCGTTGTAGGTTCTCTGGCGCGAGTTCATGTGGGTACGATGGCCCCTTCATTCAAGCCCCTTTCAACCGGCATAAAACGGTGGCGGGAATGGCTTTGCATAATCCCAAGAGGGCGTTTGGTGGGGTCTTTTGTGACTGGAGCCTCAGAAACGCCAAAACCAAACTCGTTTTTGAAATCCCCGCTCCAGCAATGGACGTAGCAGTAAGAGGCAGAAGTTTCATAAACAAAACTAAAACGGACATTACTTTAGCACTAATCAGATGAATTTCCGTGTTCAATGCGACAAATACGTGCTTTGAGGGCTACGACGGCTGGGTCCATAGCCGATATGCCAGTGGATTGAAAATGCGTACGTATAAATGATTGGCCTACACTCTACGCCAAAGTCTAGCGCGATAAACAATCTGGAAACACATTTGAAAGGGGAGACCTACCCTATTGCCGACAGCTGGGGCGTTGATCTTGGAGAGGGTAATGTATGTGTCCACATTGGTCATAAAACTCCTACACACGAGAAGAAAAACACCAAAATTGGATTACCAACGGTAGCGGCGGGGGGCGGGGGGTTAGCACTGGGTCAAATGGGGCTGCAGCAACACCAGAATACGTCGCTTAAATTCAAGTCAGCTGGTGGTGACGCTGCTGAGGTCGTGAAGCGTTGCAGGTGGAAGACAGCAGCAAGTTGGCGTTACGTAGCAAACTCGTGGAATACACAAACTGGAAGGGACCTACCGTCCACGGAGGTACACCGCCTGTTCAAAGTCCTGGTTTGCGATGGCGGCTGCCACTGAACGAGTCTGGGAAAAAGGAACAAAAAGGCGAACGATTAGGCACACAGCACTGAAATCCACGTGCGACTGAAGAAAAGTCGACGAGTGATATTGACAGTGTTCAGGTTGCAGACGCAGTCAATCGGAAATCGCCTGCTACTAGGTGTCTGCCTTAATTTTCTTTGAGGTCTTTCGTGGTTCCAGAACACCGAACGACAGGTCCACGCAAGTTACACGACCTCTCATAATAGCAGAGTTTACGATGGCTACCCCCAGACAGCACATTCGATGGCACTGCAGTTTATGCCAATTCCAGCAACAATGGCAAAATGCAGTGTCCATGGTGTTGACGTGCGTCAGATGAAACGTGCAATTGTTGGCTACAAATGCTCTAGAAGTGATGCGTTTCGATCTCAGTGACCATCCGAGGACCACACAGCAGCCTCGAAGGTATGAAGATGCGGAATTGCAAGCTCTACTAGATGAAGACTCAGCCCGAACGCAACAAGAGCCTGCAGCAGCTCAGTCAGGCGTCACCCACACCCCTACTTCCAAGCGTTTGCAACACCAAATGCGTACTCTGAAAAAAAAACAATACATTTGTGTTGACCGAACACGATCTGCGCCAACATGTGAACACATGCCTTTAACTGCTAGCTCACTGGCAACAAAAACGGATTTCTTGTACAAATGTGCAACAGACGATGAAAAGTAAATACATTTTTTCAAGAATCCCAGACGTGAAAAGTCGTGAGTAGATCCCGAGCAAGCCAATGCACCAATGCCGAAGCAGAACGTCCTCTTGAAGAAGGCTCTCCTGTGGACCTGGTGGGCCGTGAGGGATGTATTTTATTGTGAAATCCGGAAAACTGGTCGTTAGAGGGCGATTACTGAACAATGCAGCCGATAATTGAACAAACTGAATGATTTATATGACTAGAAAAGGTTATTTACTGAACAAGAAAGCAGGCAACGCTCAACCTCACGTCAAACTAATCTGCTGCAAAGTCTACAAGTCATACACCAAATACGTTTCACACAAAGACGCACACACACGCGGTGAGTTCGTGCTCCACTTGGAAATTACCACGACCTCGTCATCACTTCTATCTTGAAATGCATGGCATCTCACACTGGCATTCACTTCACTGCGACGTAGGGTCATCTTCTACGCTACGTCAATTTCCACACAATGCACAATTTCAATATCACTTATTGTGCCTTGGAGGTGGCAAATTTCTGTTTCTTCAGAACTAGGATCTGCTAAAAACACTGATATGAAGTTAAACAAGGTAATTCGTGTAAAATTTAACGCATTTTACAACCAGAAAGAAGACAGGTAAGATCTGGCCTAACATATGACGACTTGAATACAGCGCAATTTCTGACCAATGAAAATGATGGGAGCTTTGGCCAATAGGAGTGGAATGGATGGAGACATAGGTAAGTCACTATTTCCCTGCTTTTAAGCGGTATTCAAGGCGGTGGATATTTCTGCTCCTACTTCACTGGCCCAGCCTTGCTAAATCATGGTGATCGTTTAGGAGACGCCGTTGTCTGACACGGATCTTTCAGCAACATATTTAAAATGGGTCTGGTGAATCCGCATGATGGAACAACAGCTGACAGTAGGGTTTGCATTGTCGACCGTCTGTCATCTCTGCGCTATGCTCAAATCCAAAAAAAAACTTGTTCAAGGCAACCAAACACTCGTTCACAACGCCAAGCTAACAATGCGAAGTCGGCAGTGCCTCCATACACACACAACTTGTTTCCACCTCATACACACCACCTCCACCACCTCGCAGTGCCTCCATACACACCACTTGCCTCCACCTCATCCATTCGCAGCTGTGATGGAGATCTCGGATAAAGAGCAACGTGGAAGGGGTGTCTATCTACGTGTACCTGACACGGGAATTATCAAACGTGTAAAAACGGTCTCTAGCATCTTCAAGAGGGAAATGGCCAGACGTGCCAGGACGACTCGATTTCCCTTCAAACTTTAATTTCCACGGTAAATTTTAACGCCTAGCATATAAACGAAAAAGGCCTTGGCAACGCGAGTTTCACACGAATTGAATAAACAATAGAACCACATGTTTAAATGCAAACCACGCCAGTTTTGGAATCACATCTTTGAAATAACTGTGATCCTTGAACGCAGTGGGTTTCTTAGTGTGTTTGTGGTGCTTCAGTGTGTTGTTTGATGTCTTTTTACCACAAGTATCACCTTCAAGGCAAACAACGTGCAATCGAGACGCATACTTGTGAAATGTGCCAAGCATTGACTTTGAGCAACACCCTAACGCCAAGTTGGCTGCTGTTGTAATGGTGTGTGTGTGTATGCGTGGGGGTACCTTTTCGACGCAGTGCATCAGCGGCAGACGCACAGTCTGGTTGCCCACGAGCGTGATCACGCAGGCCGGCATATCGGGATCCTTGTCGGCGTCCATGAGGGCGAGAACAGCCTCCGCGCCCATGCGAATGCCGAGGACGCGGTCGAAGGCCGACGGTCGACCGCCACGCTGCACATGACCCAGCACAGTGATACGCGTGTCCAAGCCCAGCTCTGTCACCATCAGCTTCTTCACTGCCTCGCACGTGATTGGCTGGTTTTGGCGGTCGGCTGCGCCCTCTGCTACCATTATTATGCTGACGCGCTGACCTCGCTCGCGATTCTGAGAAGAACAATCAAGAGCACTGGGGTTCACCAGGAACAACAAGGATCAGTAATTCGCCAACACGGGGCCCATATTATGCAAAAATGAACCCTAGCGATATCCACCGGTTACCGGGGGTGAACTGGATCCTGTTATATCGAATTGGCCTATGCAGACACACAGAGATGATCCAAAATAGTCATCACGGGATGGGATTATGCCAACGTACCCTCTTGACCTTGGAACAGAGGTTCTGGGGCCAATTGTCGTCGGGCGGGACCTCAGGGATGAACACCCAATCGGCTTCCGAGGCGAGAGCAGACTGAAGGGCGAGGTAGCCGCAGTTGCGACCCATCACCTCCAGAATGAAGCAGCGCTGATGCGACGAGGCGGTGGTCGTAATGGCGTCGGCAGCCTCAATCACCCGATGAAGGGCAGTATCAGCGCCGATGGTCATGTCAGTCCCGCAAAAGTCGTTGTCAATGCTACCAACAATGCCAACAATGTTGAGATGCTCGTGCTTCGTGTGCTGCTCGGGTGTAATGAGTTCTGTTGTAAAGAAAGAAAACCATTGGATGGGTCATGCCCTTTCCCGAACACCATCGTTGACGCCTAGTGACGAGGTTATTACGTAGACGGACCAACGAGGAGCTCGCTCACCGATCACGATAAGAATTAGAGATGGGAACTTCCAAGACAACTCACGTTTATCCACTAGCGAAGACAGGAGACTGTTCCACTCAACTCGGAACTGGTTAGCACCGGTTAGTGAGCCGTCACCGCCAATGACAACGAGATTGTGGATGCCGTTTTTGACGAGGTTCAAGGCGGCTTTCTCGCGACCGGCCTTCTCACGGAATTCCATGCAACGTGCTGACCCTATCACCGTGCCTCCCTGTGTGGTGAAATGGCAAAAAACGTTGCGATTGATGGTCAGAAGCAGAGAAAGAAGGTGTAGCTTGGGGGCAAATTATTAACATAAACACCTGATCAGCCCTCCAGACTAGACGAGTGTCCCAATCAAAATAGTTAATGGCCAAGCCACGAGTGAGTCATTTGGAGACTAAACTTTTCCATTAACTAGAGTTTGTCGGTAAAGAAAGTCGGTGTTGTACAAAGAACTAGCATTATTCATTTAACCGTAAGTTGGAATGACGTTCGTGATGAAAACCCCATTGCGATAGAGAAGATGTTGTCAAGAGCGACCTGAAAACGAGTAGGTTTGGATTACAGACAAAGAACGCAGCTGGGTGATTTTTGCGGTTAATTCGATAAAGAACGTGTTTCAAGTCCTTGCTTCATGACCCAACACATTTAGTTAAAGTTGCTTTTCACATCAAATCAGACAAACACTAGGCATGATTTGCTGCCTCAAACAGCACACTACCGTTTGCCCAGTTAACAAGTGAATGTACCTCAGGTGTTGTTGAGACGACACGCACCAACAAAAAACACCTCCAGCAACTGCTTCGTACTGAAAACGATAATGACTAACCTCGCCGGTAATCTAGTGCGCTACTAATGACAGAATTTGGGAGAATCAGCCGCCAATTCACACAGGCACAGAGCATTTTTGTTAATTTTAACAACAAGGGGATGTTGGCATGCATGGTTTATAATTAATATAACAGTGGCGTAATGATTCTCAAATCTTTTGCACAAGTTAAAAGCGCTTTGCCCATGTGCACACAATGCCGCTAAGACCGTCATTGGCTTTTTTGAATTTGCCAGGATGCATCAGAGCGCAAACAATTCATTCCTGCAACACACGTCTTGTTGGAGTAGACGCTGCCATTACCTACATTTACAATGTAACAACTGCAGTTCAGATGTACCCGTCAATACATCAACCTGTGGTAAGGTTGTGTGCAAGACATTTAAGGATAGAATTAGGGTTAAGAACTGTAGATATTTTATAAAAATTTACGAATCAATTGGTGAGTACAGCACCATTGGCGACTCAAAGTGCGTCTGAGCACTGGCCACGCATTTCGGAATGTCAACAAAATCTAGTGAACTGCGCAAATCATTCTTAGTCGCTGTACGACTTCACATGTACCATTGGGACAGATTTTATTTTAAGCTGTTCAATCACTGTTAATTATTTTAATATATTTGTGAAAACTCCAGCCACTTATAAACAGACAAACCATGTAAGAATGTTAAAATTGGTTGTTAAGAAGAAAGCGGTTGAGTTGTAAATAACAACATGTTAATATGCTGTGAAAGAAGAGAAACAGTTAAAATTTCTAAATGTTGGTTAATTTGCCGACATGTTATCACCGAAAATGGGGCTAGCTTTAATAGCAGTAGGAATGTAGCCTAAATAACACATCAGTAACCAATGGCATCATCACAGAGATTCAGTTTTGTCAAGATTCGACAAGGAATAAATCGGAACTCACCAGCTGCACAATTCCAGAGACATCAGCCCACGATGCTTCTACAATGTTGTCTTTGCCATCAACGAGACCCTGGTAACCCTCTTTAATAAAGAAAACTCGACAACCGCAGTAAAGACCCATTCGGACAACCGCACGGATGGCAGAGTTCATGCCTTGGGCATCACCTCCACTGCTAAGCACACCAATCGCTTTCCCCGAGAACTGGCCCTTTGCCACGTACTTACCCTCCATTCCTGGAAACGCGACGGTTGAGCGTCGATCGAATCTAGTAGTAAGGCATTGGGTACATTACAAACAGGTGATACAATGTTTTAGAATTCAATCACGACAGGAAAGCGGAATCGTTAGACACCAAGCGCACACACTGATGGGTATTAGAGGTGTAGAGTTGCAAATATAAGTCCCTGTGAAAAGCGGCTAGAGATAGTCGCAGTCAAAGATGTTGGCTAAATGAACTAGGAATGCTGCTGTGTGAATCGACAAAACATGTGCTAGGGAGAAAGGGAAAGCATTCAAGGTTTTTGTGACCCATGACGCAAACATCTTCCATACTGTATGCATGCAAAAACGTTCTATTATGTCACACACAAAAAAGAAGCAAGCCTTTAGAAAAAAAAGGCACAAAAAAGCTGCTAATTAATGCACACAGAAGCAAGGCGAAAGAAAGCAAAGTAGAAGTGCGTGCATTCGCTGTAAGCTAGATTATGTACTTACAAGCGTGACGTCTGGCCATCTGCGTCATTACTAAAAGACGAGCAAGGTTTCAAGTGAAAATGTCATGACAAAAGTCAATTTTTACACCACCTGTGATGATAAAGTGCATATTACTGACGTACCTTTTATTTGCCTCCGCAATCGAGTGAAAAACTGAAATAAAAAAATTTGACTTTTTTACTTAGGGTAATCATTATACCTATGCAACATGCGCACTCAAAGCAAATATTCCCATTAACTGTGCAAGCTATCCAGTAAGCATGAAATAAGTTTTAAAACCAAAAAAGAAAAGAAACAATATAAAACAGCATTGATTTGTTAAAATCTACTCTGAACACTATACGAACAATCTACAACTAGCTAAGTACTCAAACCAAAGCATCGGAAGCATTGAGGAGCTTCTCGGTTATAAAGTCGTTAACGTAGTCCATGTAAATTAAGCCCTGGGATATACTTTACTGCAATTTATGTACAAAACTGAACATTTGTCCGTTAAACATTACTCACCATGTTTTTGGAACTCGGACACCATAGCGACGAAAGCCCAAGAAAGAAATTTAGATGCGCCTCAGCCCCAATAAATGTCGCGCCTAAGTGACGATCACGTACTAGAGGACAATCACTAGTATAATTTATAATAGAGAATTCAAACAAAACAAATAATTTATAACTACAAGAAATATAGACAGCATGTCAATAATAGTCTTAAAATTCTAAATTAAAAGATTTTTTCTCTGTTATTCTGCACTAAATAAAATCATTATTAGATAAATTAAATATTTTGATATTTTGGGAAACCAGAATTCAAGGAAATGAAATTTACGCGGTAGGACTTGTACAAAATCTATATTTAGCCTTGTCTATTTCTTCTTATTTAATTTCTTGAATAACAAAGATGATTTTTATATTTATGAGAGTTGGACTAAGATTTATATTCTAGAATGTTTACGCGACAGTACTTATCGAAGAATATTCCCAAATAGTCTTTATGCTGCTTGTTCCTTAGACAGTGTGCTTGATTATGCAGTTTGCATATTTAGGCTACATATGAGAACGCATTTAGGTCAGTACTGGCTATACAGAGAGCCATTTACTTCCCTCAGCGACATAAGTACAATTTGTGCGTTCGAGCCAATTGCTTTTTTTTGATCCCAACAAATATATAAGATTACTAAAATTATTGTTGTCATGTTGTATTTTTGTCTCTCAACGAAGCATCTGGCAGTGCATACCCCAATGAGATTACCACTCCGAAGACGCGTTGCAAACTTCCTCATGCATTATCTTATAATTATATAGTGCATTTGCGACAGTTAGTAAAAAAAAGGTACAAAGGTAAAGGCCTGACATTAAACCTCAAAAATACCTGGACATATAATAGAAACGCTTAAATATATTTGAAGAATTTGTTATTTTCCAGTTACTTCTTTAACAGGCTTTCCAAACGTCAAGGCATTCTGGTACTAATAAATGGATTTTTTTCCGTTAATTGCATCTAAAGGGCCTATTTCAATGTGCTTACTATTTCTAAGTATTGTCGAAGCACTACACGTTAATAACAGTGATATTACTGACAATCTAAACGGTGAGTTATTCTAAGAATTGATTATGAACTCATGAAGGAAGATATGAAGTCACTGATTAATAATAGCAGAGGCCATGGATGTAGTTAATAAAAAAGAATAATGATGCGTGATAAAATTACTTCTAAACATGAAAATATGGTTAAGGCTGGAATCATGCCTAAAAGCAGAATTAAATTCTTTGGATTAGTGCTTCTAAAATTACTGAGCAAAGAAGGAATAGATATAACATACATAATTTTAAAACAGGAACATTTTTGCATCAATTGAATTCCACAAAACTGCAACTAATTGTTGAGTGCTTTTCGACTGAGCCATATGTATTGTAAGGATTACCAATCGTAAAATAGTTAGTGTCTAATCGTTTACTGAAATTACAAATATGCTTCCTTTCCAAGATGTAACATGCATATCACAAGCTTTTATGTGAAAGATCAGCAAAAACGTTTAAGTTTAATGCTATTTTTACTCGATGTAACTGTCCGGCTGCCTAGGATGTGAGAGGGTTTATCATTTCTACATGGTAACACAGCATGCAAACCTGAATTCAGTGTTTCGAACACTGTAAAATGTTTCATTTATTATAACAATGGATACAGATGTTGAAATTTTAACATTAATGTTCCTGTTAGAACCACTGAAAACCTGAAATTTTTATCATGAAATGAATTGTTCTCTTCATATTTTTAGCAAAAGTAATACAACAGTGTCACTAGGTCACTTTTAAATATAAAAAGCACAAGGCTTTGTCATGTGTGCACATCTATTCTGCAGTTGGTTACCGAAATGTTCCTTACGGTTCTGTTAACTGTCAACGTAGATTTGTTGAAATTCAGCGACTGTTTAAGCTCTAATGCTCTCCTCTTCACATGCGAAAACGTCAAAATTTTTTTTAACAATTTCAGGGCATATTGCTTTAGATAATATGCCCTCGATTACGGAATGCTGTTAAATCGTGAGCATAAAATTAACGCTCACGTTTCCCATTAAGTGGAATTTTTCATGTCCAGGTGACCACAGAAAAACCTACCTAAATGCAATAAACCCAAATGATAACCTATAAAGTATGTAATTTTCAGATATACGTTACGTACGCATTCGGAAGAGCCTGTCAGAATTTTTCCCTTGAATGTTTGAATGAGGTGCTATTGTGGGATAAAATTGCCGTCTGCTCAAAGTAAACTTAGTCTAGCTTGGTATGGAAGGTGAGACTCCGGATGGTGTGTGTCGGCAGCGCTCAGTGAGTCTTTCATCAACTATTATAAATTCTTATGATTTGTGACATTGAATGTAGATTAAGTTTCCGGGGTCTGTTGCAGTAAATATTCGAGATCTACGACCAAGAAGTCAGTCGTTCAATCTACATTTCATTGTTTTTGAAAATATTATTTAAGAGAGCTTATAAGTTAACTTATTGTGTGAGGGCATAATCTCTGAAAAAGGCATATGGGAACAGTTACGCTAGTTGGCTATATTCTACAAAAGTCAACTTCGGAACGCTGCCAGCAACTCGTTTTTGAAATGCTCGTAACCAAGTACATCTTTTTCGCTTGATGAAAAGCTGCTATATAGTTTTAATAGAGTAAAGTTTAATTTTTCTCAGAACTGCTATATCTGCCCTCATCATCGAAACCACTCTAGTTTTATGTTTCGTAACAACTTTCTAGTAAATGCCAATCATGCATATGATTTCGGTCATGACACAGAGTGCAACGTCTCATTAAGATAGCTAACCTTAAATATAAAACTATTTTGTCGTTGAAGACTTCCATCAGCGGTGATTGACTATCTGCAATATTTAGTGTAACTCAGTTTACCGAATGCATAGCTTTAAGTCGAATTTTTTTGGTTTTCCTGTTTCAAACTTTTTAGTTGCCTGTCCAAGAAGATTCACCAATCGGAAGTGGCGTTGGTCAGTCACCGTTCAAGCGGATTGGCGACTGTTCGTCTGCAGATGAAGCCATTGAAACACCTCTGGCGAGTGATCTTGAAATCGACCGTTGTCCTGCCGAGAAGATGCGCCCAGGAACGGACTACGTTCCTACATTTTTGGAGAGCTCTGTTCAGGGTCTCTCTCCGACCCTAACCAATTTCATCGTCCGAATCTTCATGTCTGTCAACATGATAGGCGGATTTCTGTTTATGATATATCTTGGACCCCTCGCTTTAGTTCTTCTAGTAAGTTGAAATGACTTTAATTTGCTACAGTTGTACATGCAAAAGGATCACTTTCAAATTGTAATCCTATTTTGCAATGTTAATTGGTTACATTATCCATTCAGAGTGATAGGTCAATCTTTTTTAAACGTCAATTGCTCAATTTTGCTTGAGGGAATCTGGCCAGTGATCCTTGTATTCTACAAATGTAGACGTTGCTTCTCTAAGTTGGTTTGCTTGGCTTGCATATTACTTCCTTTTGCAAAACAATCTCTCTTTTTCGTGTTCGAGGCAATGAAATACAGAAAATTTGATGCGGCGTGTGCTAGAGTTGCTGTCATGGTGTTTTCGCACCTCCCGCCCTTCATCTAAGAAGCTTCTGTGACTTAATTTTAACCGAGAGCATCGTGGCAAGAGGAATAGGGGCCTGTTTTCTTTCTTCGCATCCTAAGTGCTTGTCACAAACATTGATTTTGGGGGCTTAGCTATCTGCTGCTTAAAAAAAACGTGTTCCTATACCATATTTATTAATACCCATATAGTCGAGAGTCTAGAAATTTGTCCACGCAAAATACGATTCGCTCAATGTACGCGATCCCCATTCCACATTGATGCGTGTATATGTGACTTGCCATTAACCAGATTTATATGGTGTAGGGGTAAAAAATTGATTTTTTTTAAGCCACTGCTAGTCGGGAGCCTAGGTTCTCGATAGATATCTGAATCCCGGCTAATTAGTCAATCGAGAATGGTTGCTATTCTAGGTTCTTGGTTTGCAATTGGCGTGCTTTAAGGAGCTAATCAACATCGGTCATCTCGTTTATCGAATACACAACCTCCCGTGGTTCCGAACCCTCTCGTGGATGTTCCTCTTCACGTCGAATTACTTCTTCTTCGGCGAAAGCCTCATCGGTCGTTTTCGCATCCTTCTCGCGAAAGAGGTAAGAAGCCGCGTGCGAATACATTTTAAAGGCATTCTCACTACTTGTACTCGCCGTGCGTTGCAAGCGCTCGTGTCAAATCACCCGGTGTAGTTATAGCAATCTCTTAATGCTTTACTTGTTTACTCCCAGGATGCTTTCTGTGGGTTTTCGATACCACCACTTAGTTAAAAATACTTTTCTTTGAAACTGCAGCAACAAATTTAAACCTCTTTTAAAGTGCAAAAGGGAAAATTGATTAGAAAGATGTACTTTAAAGGACCAACAACTTCCGCTTACCAAGTTTGCTAATGTAACGTTGTACTAGACACGCCATTGGCTAATTCCACTGTTTCGCGCTAATTTGAATTTTACAAGGCCAGGGGTAGCGACCCCTCGCGGTATTCGAGGGATTACTGCATTCTAGTGAACCCCTGCATTAACGTCCAGTTGTAGGTAGGAGTGACGCTAGATGCGGTTTTTTGTAAAGAAGAGTAATTTATTATCACACGACCACGTCGGGAAGGGGGGTGGGGCGTTGGACAGTCTGCGTAGGCAACGATGACGCGACCATGCCACCCCAAGGAGTTGCTTGAAGTCAGGTTACGGTTGGAACTCAGCCGCTCAATTGCGGTCATCAATGCGCCCTGCAACCAGCTCGTGCACAAATTCACAACATACGGCATGACGCGTCTTCTCGAGTGTGTTATTTCACCGAGCCGATAGCACTGTCATACGTGAGCCCCTGTGTGTGTGTGTGTGTGGATACGGCACAATTACTTGCTGCATAGTTCCCGTGGCTTGCCAAATTCGATTTCGGCAGTCGTTGGTTTCTTTGCGATCCGACAGAAGTGCCAATCAAGCCGAGATTTGCGAATTAGCCGGGCACGACTTCTACCTCCAGCAGGTTTGGGCGTGGCTCGCAGTTCCAATTGGTTCATGCGTCTATCGTTAGCATGTCTACTGGCAGATCGTGGCTAGTGACGGCTGCCCCCCCTTAATGCTGTGTTGGTTTCTGCCTTTTTTAAGGACTTTCTCGCCCCCTTGGTGGTGCATCACCGATTCATCTCGTTCACTCTCTACTGCGGTTGCATTGTCGCCTTCGTTCTGAGCCTCGTTCGACGGCATTATCTAAAGCAGTTTACACTGGTAAGTTGCGGCCACACAGCTCCCTTCCGTGTACCTCGTGTGTCAACGTTTTCCGTCGTAGCCCTGTTAGTGCCAATCTCTGTCACCTAACATTTCGGCTAAGGTCTATTTAACCCCCCCCCCCGTAAGCCTAGTTTCGAACTGAGTCATTCTGAAATGTCATTGTTCAATAGGAAGGGTGTTGAGGTGATGCAGAGGTTTCCCGTGGGCCTGTGCAGGCACCAATGACCACGTTTCTCCCAAGAATGTACTTTTCGATTTATCGCAAATCGTCGAAAACAGACACGGCGAATTCCCCTTGCCCTGCCCTCTGCCCTAGTAACCATGACACCGCCATAGCTAAACTTTCCGTCAAACTCTCTTTTCTTGCTAAAATTTAGTTTGGGTGGACGCACGTCTCCCTCCTCATCATTGTCACCTCGTCGCACTTCATGATTCAAAGCATTTTCGACGGTCTCATCTGGTGAGTGTTCTTTTGCCTTAACGCCCAACTTCTCGTGGCGCCAAATGATCCTAATCTGCCGTCTGGGGGAATCAAGGATCAAACAGCTGAAAACAATTTGTTGTGGGCCCCAGCATGTGGTCTTGAACCACGCCGGGGCCACTGAATCAACCCTGGCCCGATTACGCTTTCCTGGTACCCGCGATGAAGAAAAAGAAGACCGGAGAGGACGTGGACACAACCGTTTACTTCAGAGGTCAACCACGTTGGTGTCGTTGTGTCGTGTGTGTGTGTGTGTGGGGTTTGCGCGTGTGTATTTATACCTCGGATGTGTGAGTCATACTTGCACCAACATCGAGACCTGCGTGTGAGGATAATCCAAGATGAGGGGGGGGGGGAGTTGAGGATCCGCGTGGCTGACGAAAAGGGGAACCCTGAGTGATCGGATTAGCGAGTGTGACAAGCACGATCCACAATAAATCCACCTCACACGATGTGGCCGATGTCGTCTCTCGAGTGTGTGTGTTGATGGCTGGTGATGAGTTAATCGAAAAGCCACAGGAGGCGGTGACCGCGGTGGTGTGATGCTCGCCTGTGTGTGAACCCGTGATGGGCTTTCACCTCGCGGCAAGCGGCGCCGCGTTTATACGATGCCCTGCCACACCCTGTCAGCTTGCACATTAAAATAAATCAAGCTTGATCGAACGGCGACGCACTACATGTACGGATCACCGGTCTACCTCAACGTCGTGTGTGATCAACGCGTGCTTCTAGCGCCTTGGTCACAAGCGGCAAAACGAATTTCGTTGCCCTGGTCACCTAATTTGTGCGTCTACCTCATTAATATGCATCCTCTATACCCCCTTCACGATGCCAACGTTGCGTACGTTGGCTTTCCACGTCTGGTGAATCACGAGCTAGCGCGTTTTTTGACAAGAGCACGTTTAAGTTCTAACGCCACGCGTAAGCGCATTCCAACTTAGCTCCAAACTAGCGTATCGGAACGGAAAAGCAAGCACGTCGAAGGTCTCGCCACGTGGTCTAGCACCTTGTGTTGGCCCGGTTGCGCGTCAAGAAGACTGGACGGTGGTAGCAGAGACACCTGTTTATGACCTAATTTGTACATCATTCTCAGCAACATGAGAAAAATAGGTAACAACGAACTTACTCTTGGAAATACTCTCCATTATGTTCTACGATCTTGTGCCGGCAATGTATGGATGCCGTCACGAAGCAAACTTGCGGGCTTCGAGGCAATAAAATTGTCGTCGTCTGGCGTTTTAGAAACTGTTTATCCACTGAGGCGTGCTGCCGCATTTACCGCAAAAAACGGTAGTTGTCGGTCGTGGGGCCAATTATGGTGAATACGCCGCGCGTGTGGGAGAACTTTCCATCCCAAGTTCAAGAGGGTCTTTTGAGTCGCAACGCGAGTCGGAGCGTTGTCATGGCGTGGCAGTATGACCCACCTGCTCCCTTGGTCAGTAAATGGCCTTTTCTGATCAGGCTCTTTGCTCGTTTGTCGACAGTAGCGTCCCGCAGTCATCGTCTGACGACCAGTTTCCGGGAATTCGTAAAAGACTACAGGACTTTGTAAGAGCACACCCTTCGTGTCTCCCCCCCTCCACCGCATACGCAGGTGAGCCTTGTTCAAGTGGATCTACCCAAGATTCTCCGTTTTACGCCTAGGATTCTCGCAAAAAAAACATGTTTTTCATCACCCCTCACAATTTCATACAATAAGGCCTTTTTTGTGGGTGGGCAGAAGTTGAAGACAGTGTTCGTACGTTGATGTGGGTTGCGTTCGGTCAACACATGTGGAGGAATCACTCTTGCGGGTTTTTTTAATTTTGCGCACTTGGTGTTGCAGACGCTTGGAAGTAGGGGTGTGGGTGACACCTGACTGAGCTGCTGCAGGCTCTTGTTGCGTTTGCGCTGAGTCTTCATCCAGTCGAGCTTGTAATTCCGCATCTTCAAACCTTCGAGGCTGCTGTGTGGGGCGCGGCTGGTCACTGAGATCGAAACCATCACTTCTAGAGCGTTTGTTCCAACAATCGCACCTTTCATTTGACAAACGTCAACACCATGGACACTGCAACTTGAGTTCAACGTGTTTTATAGGCATTTTGTCATTGTTGCTGGAATTGGCATAAACTGCAGTGCCATTGCATGTGGTGTCTGTGGGTAGCCATTGTAAGCTCTGCTGTTGTGTATCTGTCGTTCGGTGGTCCAGTACCTTGCGTCCGATCCTTTCAAACCAATAAGACCGATTTTCCAAATGTACTTTTAACCTCGAAGAAGACAGCTGTGCAAATTTAGGCAGACACCTAGTACCAGGAGATTTCCGATTGACTGACGGACATGCCAGTGTGTCGGGGAGTCCGAAGTCCGGGTCAGTGTGGACGTGAATCGAGACGATTCACCACCGAATGCTTGAGTGGTAGGCATTTCAGCGTTCCATTGACCCACCCTCCCCCTACTCTCCCTCACAACCCAGGTTCCTCGTGCCCGTTGCCATGGTGATCTCCAACGACATCTTCGCCTACGTCTTCGGCATGCTCATGGGCCGAACCCCGCTCATCAAGGTGTCGCCGAAGAAGACGTGGGAGGGCTTCATCGGCGGGGGCATCTCGTCGCTGCTCCTGGGCGTCGTCATCTCGTGGCTGATGATCGACAAGAAGCACTTCATCTGCCCCATTGAATACGACGACCGCGTCGGTGCCGTCTCCATGGACTGTGTGCCCGACGCGATCTTCATACCTCGAGCGTACAACGTCTCGCGTTGGTTGGTAGGCCTCCTCACCCATCACACACCTCGATTTACTTGTTTTGACCGAGCCGTAGTACTACTTAAATGCAAATAAGTAGACGCGTGTGCCCACAGTGGCCTCAGGGCTTTGCATTGTCTCTTGTGTGTAGTTCTTCCTGCCGATGAAGCAGGTGTCCTGGTACCCGTACTACTTCCACTGCATCATGATAGGCGCCTTCATCTCCATCGTCGGCCCGTTCGGCGGCTTCTTTGCCAGCGGCTTCAAACGCGCCTTCAAGATCAAGGACTTTGGCGACGTAATTCCCGGCCACGGTGGGATCCTCGATCGTTTCGACTGCCAGATCCTTGTCGGGTGGTTCGTCCTCTTCTATTATAATTCCTTTGTCAAGTGAGCCATTACTACTTACTGATATGAGTAATATGCGGCTGTCTTTGTTGATTTGCTGGAGATTGTTGTGCTGCGAGTCGACCGACGCGGTTCCCGTTTTTGCTAGATTAGCGGAGGTCATTCCCAAGCCCTTTCCCACACAAACCGGATACATAGATAGCCACATATTCAAAATTTGGCGATTGGAGACCAAATCACCGACCGGCTACCGCACGTTTGCAATTGTAGCATTCCATCGGCAAGGTGAACAAGATCCCTGCCACGGAACAGGCCTCCAACATCAGTGGAACCCTATTGGGTGACTTCTTCTAAAGGCGTTCGTTACACGAGAGGATTAGGCGTTAGCGTGAACCCGAGAACAGTGAGAGAATCGGTTGATCGATCTGTCCAATCTCTGCTTAATTTCTTGCTGCCAGGGTCTTGTGCGCGAGCGTGTGTTGTAGAACTTTGGTTTCCGATGAATTGATTTCACTAGATTTGAATAACTGCTGCAAAATTCAAGTAGGGTCTTTTACTCGTTCGGAGGGTCGGGTCACGACGAAGTTGTTTGGGTGGTTAAGGGATTTTGCCTGTAAGTTGGAATAGTTGGACCGTCGGCTGCTTGGAAGGCGGATAAGGGACTGTGAGGCTGCTTTTCACAAAATGGTGTGCCAATTAAACGGAAATCGCTTTCCAGCGACGCGTCGTGTGGGTGCAGGTCGTGTCTGTCGACGGTAGACGCTGCCATTGTCTTGCTTTTTTTGGGGTTCTTAACGCTCGGAAGGTACTCCTGGAGGTTTCGTGGACCTTGAAGCTTGAGAAGGAGACGGCGACCTCTGTTGTGAGCCGTGTTTATTCACACCCCTTGATCCGGTCACTCCGTCCTCCGACTCAGGGTTCCCCTTTTTGCAGCATGTCGCCAGCCGCGCGTATCCTCAACTCCCCCCTCAATCCCACGAATAGTTATCTTGGATTATCCTCACGCCTAGGTGTCGATGTTAGCGCATGTATGACTCACACATCCGAGGTATAAATACACACGCGCAAACCCCACACACACACACACACACACAACGACACCAATGTGGTTGAGCTCTGAAGTAAACGGTTGTGTCCACGTCCTCTCCGGTCTTTTTCTTCGTCGCGAGTATCAGACAAGCGTAATCGGGCCGGGGTTAATTTAGTGGCCCCGGCGTGGTTCAAGACCACGTGCTGGGGTCCACAACACCTCTTTCGATCAACTGTGATTGCGCTAATAGCTGATTCCATCCACCCTAGATGCCCGCTTTCCATCTGAAGAGACCACAAGAGTCCGTTGTGATCCGTGAATACGTTTCGTCCTGTACCCGGAGTTCCCCGTTCAACCCCTTTTTTCTACTTTCAGACCAATGACTCCAAGTTACCTCCTCCAGCAGGTCTTCGTCCTGCCCCAACTGGAGCAGCTGGGTGTGTTGAACCTCTTCCTGGACGGCCTTCTTCGACGCGGTCACGTGCCACGTGACCTTGCGGAGCCTCTCATCCAGTTTGGCGAGAGCATCAAACAGCAGACCGCGGAGGTGCCTTGAGGTGGCACGCAGAGCCCATCGAACCGTCTGAGACCCCACATCTCCCCCTCCCCCCAAACCCCGTGCATTGTGATCTTTGTCCCAGTTTATGGCTTCGCCGTGTCCAAGTCCCCCCTTGAATTGCTGTTGTTCCTTTCGTCCGTCTTTAATAAAAATTATGCTCACTTAATCGGGTGACTCACGCCGTGTGCAAATCAACCTGGAACGCGATCGCGTAGGGTCGCGTTACTGCTCAATGAGTATCGACGGGTTTGTGGCGAACCGTCAGCGGACGCCTATTGGTGGAAGCCAGTTAGAATAGGTTTATCTAAAGCCGATTGGTTCCTGGTATTTGTCCTGAGCCTATCGTATGTCTTGTGACCACTGGCAAATCCCGCCTTAAGAGCAAACACTTGGGTTCGAGTAGTGCTGTTAGTACCAAACAATCGAGCTTGCGCGCATGCCAGACGAGCAGAATTTGCCCAAAATGTCGCTATTTGCTAGTGCGTGTAGATAAATGATTTTGATTGGCTGCTGGGTACTTGGGAGTACGAATTGCTCCTAGCCAGCCCTGTGAATAGGTAATATGGTGGGGGGAGCGATAGCCAATTACGTCTAGGCACTGTTGTAGATACGCAATTTGTGGGAGAGGACTAAAATTTATTATTACAATTACGGAACAAGGGGATGTTCGCGATTCAAGTGTCCTTTCGGCCGGCAGATGCTGCCACTTCCAATCTCCATTCTCGCTGCCACCTTCTGAGTTCCTGAACTTCTTCCAGCCGTCTCACCTTAAAAGAATGAAAATTTATTTGACGCACATGGTTGAGCGCTGTGGTGATGCACGCGAGCACTCAAAAACATGCTCTACCTTCGTCCACTGACCGAACAAGTCAGTGTAGCGCCCTTGTCCCAATAATTCGTGTTTTTGAGAAATCTAACCAACGAGAGAATCGATGCTATCGGCTTAGAGCATTTTACGGGAGTTGTGAAATTAATATTACATGCTAGCAATCAATAGTCAGTGGATTTCAAAATCTCTACACCGGGTTAATTTCGGTGTACGGTTCCATGATTTTTAGAGTGTCCTCATAAATTTGATTTCAATTAATTTTTGACCTTATCAAATTGCAACAACAATTTTTAAGTGTTACGGCGTAAACACAGGTGTTTAGTGCGTGTAACTTAGGTCGCGGCACGCAAGTAAGAGCCAGTCGAGTACCTGGATCATTCCCCACCGTGTGTGTTGGGTGAAACACCTCAGATTCTTTCCGTAAAAGCACATACGAACGTACGAAGTAGTGGACTATAGCCTCAGTTTGGATGAACTCGGAAGCGGTCACCATAGTAGCACTTTATCGCAATCTACGGCACGTGCGATGCAGTCGTGCCTTGTCACTATAAATATCTTGCAGTTTTGCTTAGCACACAACTTTGAAGCCGGCTCAAGTGCTTTCATGTGACATGCCAAGCGTTTACACCAATTTTCTACGAGCTAAAAGAATACGTCAGGCATTCCATTTAGTTGTGGAAGCATCAGTCACCTTCGATCTGTCATGAACGTCTAGTCCTGTGGCAGCAGCTCAAAACACAAAACGCCCAACTAACAGCGTGATCTCAGCTTCATGAAATTTAGCTTTCAACGTGATTTGTGCTAATTCATCATGCTTCAGCTATGCTAGTTTGAAAATCCTCTTTATAATCGTCACGCGAGAACATTTCACGTCGAAATAGCATGCTGTTTGAAGTTGTAATGTGACTACCCATGAGTTACCAACTCCGTGTAGGACCTAGAATTACCGTGTTACAACTCGACCCTTATCACATTTGTCAAGTCATCGTTCATTTATGCGTTGTTTTAATTTCAGGTTTTGATGAGCGCCACTTACAACCTGACCCCTGCATAGGTTTTGAACACATTTACGGCAAAATGTTTTCTAATTGTTTGGAAAAAATGTGTATTCGTTGTTGAACGTGCCAAGATCATTTGGCGAGTGTTTAATCGTGAGCCTCAAAATTCGCGTTCCCACGAGACTGACGCATAGATTAGTCCCAAACTGGTGACTATTGTGTGATGTAAATTTCTTCCAAATCAAGCGACGCTCCAATTTTGAAATGTGTACGAAACAGGTTATGCTATGCAGAAAAACAAGCATTTACTCTTTCGGCACTATCGCGCACAGTTGCATGGCACTGACGGCTTTGGTTTGGTAAACATCGGCCGCACAAGGTCGAAAAGAACGGACTTGGAAGAACATCTGGTGAGAAGCCTGCAGGCATGTTTTGAAGTCAACAAACGGCATCGTTAACTTAGAAAAAAACAACAAGTTGTTTACCTCAGCTGCTGACTTCCTTTACGTAAATAAACACGCTCTTAAGTTAAATTTAGCTTTGAACGACGTCTGTCAGGAACTGAATGAAGGAAAAGGACATGCACGACCCGTGTCATTGGTTAAACCGAAATTACCGCCTAGTCTATTGATTAGTAATGCTGTAATGCACTCCGTTTTGCATAAACAAATTGTGGGTGTGTTTTAATCTACCAAATATCCGCGCCAGTGTTTTTGAATGACGGTGGCAGCCTCTGCAAATGACAAGTCCCAGCTAAGTGGATGGCTTCGTCTAGGATGCGTCTTCCAGTGATCTGCGACCCATGGAATGTCGCCAAGGGAGTGAATTTTTTCTACGCGTTTTTCGATCTCCCGCTTGGCTGGATTGGTTCGGTAGCACTCGAGAGTTATATAATCCAGGGCGTTAAAGGCAGAGTGATGTTTCTGAAAAATAAGTGATTGGTGAGTGTAAAGAACAGCTTGCTTATTGTTAGCCCCGCCCCCATTAGTAGGAATATCCATTGGCAAACACAGGAGAACGTTTGTTTAATTAACAAGGATTGCACGCACCAACTACATTAATCCAACTAATGTTTCTCCCTTACACGCAACCCCTCTCTGAGTTGGAGCCAACAGGAGTTCTTAATTTTCCGTTTTGCATTGATGACTCGGTAAAAGCAAAAACAGCACGTGCTTTGAGGACATGAACAGTGGACTAAGGCAGTGTTGTCCAGGATACAATGAAATAAAAGAAAATCAGAACATGTAGACACTGCAAACCTCCACATATATTACTTCTAGATGATGGCCTTAATTAGACTATTAAAGTTAGCAGAATCAACATTAATTTCGCAATTTCGCGCAACAGCTATTTGCGAATCTCACCTCGGAAAAAGGACGGGTGGTCACAGAATACCAAATCAGACATTCACGATAATAATTACAAAGAATGCAGAAAAGACACGTGTAGATTGACGGTACGGCTTTGAACCTACGGTTTACGGTTGCTAGATCTGGAGGTAGCGAATTACAATGTTATCATTTAATAAATTATAGGAAAACTTTATGGTCTCATTTTGTAGGAGACTTGCAAGTGAAATTAAAAAATTTTAACGGTCGTCTGCTGAAATGTGTACGCTTGTTTACATACAGATTTAGGTATGTCTTTCAATACAATAATTTGTGACAGCAAAAGACGTGGGTATAAATTTGCGACCCACTTAACACACCTAACAGAAGTGACAGTAGAAACTATCACAGCTAATAAATAGTAGCAAGCAACAAAGAGATATGTTGTGGATAAGAAAATAGCAGTAGCAAGGGGAGCCAAAGCTCAAAGAACCTGTGATGCTTGACCTTTTGAGTATCACCAAAGTAAACATTCCAAACAGTGTTATATTTCTTACAAGAAGAATATCCTTGGATAATATTTGTTCTACCAGGCCATGCAGTATTGGTTGAAGTGTTGGAAGGATGCGTGACTTGAAGTATCCTACTGGGGTGTCCGGGTCGACTGATGGATCACTGAATCCCATAATGTATCATACCTGAATCATTAGTAGGCGTGATGACACTTTCGAAGGTAATGGGATCGTCCTTTTTTCGCACTATTTCCAGGAGCGTGTCCACAGGCAGAAACGCATCAATATCCATTTAGAAAACTGTAGCTTAGAGATTTCATTAAAATAATGAAAAGAGCGAAAGTAAAAAGCGGATTTGTATATCATTCGAAAAGCGACGATTCAGAGGCGTGATTAATAACTCAAACATCAAACTTGTTCGTGACTACACCACACACTAACAAGTTAAGTGGTAACAGGGGATATTTTGCAAGCACATTTAGAAGCTATGCTCTAGACCTCATAATCTTAAGACGAAGATACTAGTATCAATCGAAAATAAAACAAAGGTTAGTTTTACAAAACACGTTACAAATGCTGACCACAAATTTCATGAAGGCTATTCATTGAGCTTGAGTGACACAGCAAATCGTTACCATGGATGGGGTGAAATAGTTCTAAACCGTGCAACAAAATCGTTCTGGTGTACAGATTTTGAAATTTATTACTTGGTCAAACATTTAATGTGTGATCCAGCATGATGACATACGTTAACATCAAGTTTTACTTAATATTAAAGTGAAATTATATTTGCATTATAGAATAGAACATATTTAGACAACCACACCTGTGATGAAAATTTAGTTCCCACTTTTAGAAGTGCTAAAATAAATGACGAAAAAAATTACTTTTTTAATTTGAAAAATTAGGCTTGTTAAAATTTCCTAAAGGCTAGTTTTTCGAAAAGATTAAAGTCGTCTCGAAAACATTTTATTCGAAAGTACTCAGTAATGACCTAGATTTTGATCTACCAAAACAACATTTAAATTATAACAATCTACAGATACTAAAATTTAATTGTTACTATTCAGATATATTTAACTATAAAAATGGATTATAAGCATTTATAGTGGTTTTAAATCTAGGATAAAAGCCTGAACTAAACGAAAATAGGCGTAAAATGAAACTACAGTCTGTCCAAAGTAGAAATAAATTTCATTATTCTTTCTGTGCTAGTAAATAACTGCAACTAAGCTTTGAACATTAAATACAGACAATAAACCTCTTAATGTAAGTCCACACACAACTGTGACGAAAAAAAGAGACTAATATACCCTATTACCTACTTGACATGAACTTCTATTCTAAACGGATTAAAGCTGCAATGCCTATCAATCGGAAATCATTATGTGTTTGATGAAGTTGGATCGTATTTATTTTTTGTCTTGACGTTTGTGACACTAATAATTCTTACTAAGAAGCAAGATTTGAGAGTTGGTTTTTCAAGGAACTCTGAGGTGATGCCTTGTACTAAGACCCATACCTTCGCATTAAGTATGGTCAGACAAAAATAACTATGCACTCTCTGTCATTCTTCCTATAAACTTAAACTTTTGTAGCTAATAAAGCCATATTGACTAATTTATACCATACTTGTGGATAGTCAACTAATTTATTGGTTTCACTTGTCCCTTTACGATATAACGGTACGAACCTCAAATACCTCTTGATATGCTATGCCCACCTCATTTGACTTTTGCGACTACATAGTCTAACTAGCATATCCTCACTGTTTGATAAATAAACACGCTCAGCAACACCTCACCTTTAGGCATGACCTGCATTGAAAACATGTGGCCGTTAGACACACTGAACCCTCAATAAACGATAGGAATCAATTTGGCCGCATTAACCGTACCGGACCCGAAAGTGTTGCGTTAAGCCTAGCAATATCTACACATGTCCTTTTGCAGCCGCCAAATCACCTTCTAACAATTCGCGCCAACATCGTCTTATCATCGATCAATTTTCTTTCGATCTAATCACGGACTTCAACGTTTCCCTCCTTGACACCGACATTCCGGTCCCCCGTACCGCCGATCATGCTGCTATGCTTCCACCCCCTCACTAAAAGGTGTGCCCTTCAGAGCAGGTGGCCACTGTCTCTTATTCACCTCCCACTTTGCTCATAACTATCTAGATTTACTTAACTCCCTAAGTCTGAACTGAAGAAGGAGAATTGGGTAATATTGTAGTTTCTTCGTTTAGGTCCTGTAATAGTCACAAGAATGTAATCGTTTGGATCTTAGACTCACGTTCTCACGCAGTTTAACTATTTTATTCGGGCCAAGGCTTAGAGGTAATGGCTTGCTCGTCACCAAAATCTCCATGACCTGCACTCAGGGTTAACACACTGGACGAGCAAAACCAACATTCCAGATTACGGCGTGTTTCTTCAATTGTTGGCCTCAAAGTTTTGTAGACAGTTCTTTCATAAAAATACTTAATAACATAAGGCATAGTATTCCTCCAACGCACACCATTCCTGCTTAGGCTTTGTTTTCTTGAGTTCTCCGGTAATCTCGACTCCCTTTCTGTGCATTCACTGAACGTTTTATGCCCCTGTTTGTATGTATGTCACTGCCGAATCCCACACTTCCACATCCAACCTACCTCAATCTTCTGAAATCTTATTTGCTACTTAATTTTGGTCGCGTATTCACTTAACAGCCAATAAATGCTAATTGAGTACTCGGATACACCTTGCAGATCACCCTAGAAATCAAATCTAAAACGTCATTAAAACGCAAATATCCTTATTTCTGTTAATGGAAAATTGACAGGACATCTGTCTTAGGTTGAAAGACATTTGCGTAGAGACATGAGAAGAAGTGTCACGCATCATCTGCCTGCCTTTGTTTATTCAAACAATTAATTTGTTCCGTCACATCTCATTGGTTCCTTATTCAACAGCCTGTTTGATGTTCTCTTGCCGGCAGGGCTACCGTCGACGGGTTTCTGCTTTTGCTTCATTCTAGCCGCAACATCGCGCTGATACTGGGCAACCGAACAGCACTCAGACGGCGGTTCAAAGTCGTCGTCGGAGCTAGCCGCCTCGCCGTCCTTCTTGTTCTTGTTGAACAGCCACAGCTCTGTCTGGTGAGCCTGTTGCTGGGCGCTGTCCATGCCCCCGTTGTCCTCGTGATACTTGTCCGGGGTTACCTGACACATTGGAAGGGGCTTCACGGTGTCTTCAAACAGAATCTCATGTTTGGCCTCAGACGCACTTTTCAGGTGAGACTCGAAATTTCCTCTGTTTTCACCCGCCATGCGACCGAAATTCGTGGTCCCAAATTACGCGAAGATATCGATCGAGCAGAAGGAAGGTCACGATTTTATCCAATCACGTGGCTGTCATGTTGTCATCTGGTCAAACAAGCAAAAAGCTGACTTTTCAACAATAGTTGTCATTTATGAGTATGAGGATCTGCTAAATTTAACCAGTTGTATTAAATTTCACACCAACGAAGGTAGCAAACCTATCTTAAGGAAGCCGTTATAAAGAATTATCATTACGTACTTATTTATAAGTATATTTGAAATATCAAAGCATTAACAGTGGAAAAGAGAGACGGAGAGAAAGGAAAATGAACGCGGGAAATTAGCACAGCCAGTGCCGGCGGCGGATCATTCCGCGATGCCTCGCAACTGCATTCCAATGCAGCATGCCACTGCCGTAGGCCAATGGGCTGGCGCCCCTTTCGGCGTTCTGATTGGTCGGACCGACGACCAGGCGTCCAATGACAACCTGGCCACTCTTCAAGCCACCAATCGTCGCAACCAGCGCGATCCCCACGCACACCTCGCCCGATTCCATGCCGCCTTCCAGTTTGAAGGCAACTTCGTCGGTGAGATGGAACTCGCACTGATTCAAAGCCACCTTCACTGCAGGTCTCGATTCCTGCGTTTCAAGCACCTGGTGGTTCGTCATGAGGCTAAATACCGCCACGATCTTTTCTGAAATCGTAACCAATGAAAACTTGATCGCAAAACGCAAGCAAACCGTTAAATATGGGGTTTTCTTCACAGTAAACAAGTAGGATAATTCACAGGTAGAGTGTAGAAAAGTGTGTTAACTTATAATGTACGTCTGCGGATGTGATCACACATACCTTTAAATACTCTGAGATATGTACAAGCACCAGAAGTGGTTTATTTGATGTCTATCGATTATTTTCAGCTATTATTTGCGCGTTATGTGTTATTTTCAGTGCCCCTGACTTGTTGTTTTACTGGGCTGGTTCGGATGTAAGGCGCCAATTCAAAGTTGTTTACGCAGTTGTCTGATTTTTGAGTTATTTTTCGAGTAATCAGTTTTGAAGCGTAGCCATTGCTGCTTTGCAGTTTAAACTGCCATCATGGGTGCCAAGAAAGAACCACTTCATTTTTGTTGGTGATGAGGCTAGGTTACGAGATTTTGATGAGGTTATGAATATAAGTGACTCATGAACACCAACCAATCACGTTGTTCACACGTGATTGGTCAACCTAGAGGTTGTTCTACAACTGGTGCGGAATCCAAACCCACGTATCTCTGCCTCTCTCCTATCGACCAGAGCACAAGTTTCGTAAACCCAAGTAATTTACCATAATTCTACTGTGACGCCACAAAAGGGCGCAGACATTTTGAATTAACCCTTGCTCAACCAATCCTCCCTCAATGGGCGTCTAAATGGCCTCCATAGTCGATTAGCAGCCAATCAGAGCCAAGGATGGATGAGAAGCACAGCATTCTTTATCCTACGACTTGGATGCTCTTCACTACATCTGCATTTTCTCACGCTTCTAAATCGTGGACTCACTTGTTCCCACGGGCAGAAAAAATGATGACAAATCGATCGGACGAAGCGTGAGCAGCCTGGTTGCCTGATTCCACTGCATCGCGAGATTGAGCAGGCCTTCGATTGGCTAAAGTAGGTGAAAAGGGCGACCCTAGAGTGTGCTTGTGTTAAAAAAAACGCACGTGATTTAGCAGACTGTCGCTTTGACGGATGAAGCAAACGTACCTTGGTGCCCACAGGAGTGAGTAGTTCAACTCGAGTCACGTAGTCCTCGTTGGGGCTGGAGAAGGAGGCGCTGTGGCTGCGGGAGTCGGAAGCTGCTTCCAAGGTCCGCAGGAAGACAGGCGAGCAGGGTATGGAGACGCGTCCAAGAGTGTCATTGCAGAACTTGCCTCCGAGTCCACGCAACAGGGGTCTACCGCGCTGTTTCAGTTCAAGATACAGCTCTAATTGGATCGGCGCACACTCCATCTCCGACGCTGACATCGACCGTCGGCGAGAAAGCATCGTCTGGGTTGTGGAACCTCCTTCAACATGGAAGCGCAGCAAAAGAGAGTTTGGACAAATAAATGCTAGCCACCGAGAAGATTACCAACTTGTTGACAGTGATTTCCCGTGATTTACTACCACGCCTATTCATTCACGTGGATGCCGACCACAAAGCACACTCACTGAGGAGTTAGTTAAACACTCTGGCATTAGTTGATCCATCAGCAAAGCCACAACAGCGTCCAGTTCATTCACTGTTTTTAACGATTACCCCTTAGCAGGGAGACTCAATACCAATTGCCTCTGACTGTCGTTTGTATCAAACACTAAAGCTATCACGACGACAAGCGGAGTGTGGTAAAGGGTTAGCACACACACCTCACAAGAGATCTAGAAGTCGATAATGACCAGAGTTTGGATTGAGTGTTTTAGTGACTGGTTACAGTTCAGTAAAGTCATTACAAAACTGGTACGCATGACCAACGACGGTGATGTACGTAACAATTTGACCCAAAATATTGTATTTGTTGTCGAGGAGGTTTGTGTAACTAATCGCGATACCTAACTGAAGGTGCATGAAGCCCAGAACGGATGACTGACTTTTAACAATCGTCATTTGTCCATGCATAGATTTGGCCGACTGCGAGGCACTGAATTTGATTAAATTTATGCTTATTTGGTTGGTTTCAACTGAGTGAAAATTTATCAAGCAAAAAGCATTATCATTTTTTTCGAAATCGGCAATTTGCAATTTCTGATCAATTTTCCCGATCGATTCCCGATCAAGCCTCAGAAGAGGTTTCAAACGCGTGAAACTTTGTTAGCCACAACGAATTGAAAGCGGAATTGAGTAGCGCGGCGTCCAAATCAGTCAGGGAAATATTTTAGTGGGTTTCAGCGATCGCGCGTGAGTGCGGATTATCGATCCCAATGACTCACCCCCATTTCACATTGGCTGCTGTTTTCTGTCACCGGTAAAGCACGCGTAATCAGCCTCACGCAAAAACCACATTTGGCTGGCCTAACGCTTATTAACGGTCGCGTGTCTTATCTCCCTTTTCGGGTTGTTACGGGCTGTTAACTAGGAGGGTGTGCGTTAGTGCAAGCACACTGCCACAACGCCTCTCTACTCCGACCACGTTTGTACGCAATTCTCCTTTAGAGGTGGCTGGTGCTGGTCTATTTCTAAAGACACACAATGTCGACAATATTCGCTTTTGTACATTAAACTAAAATTTACTCTCAACTATCCTTGTGAAACTAGGACCGATAACTGTAGCGACGTATAAGGGCGCAGACATATCGGACCACGCCGGCCTCAGCCAAAACCATGTCTCTTTGTGTTCCAATGGCATGCGAGGAAGATAAGCAGCCAACCAGAGAAGGACATGAATGAGGTGCAGTATATAATGGGCGGCGCAGCCAGTGTGGCGGACTCGGATGAATGGCGCCTGATATGTGGTTCTGGCTTGTGATTGGTCAATAAAGCCTGTTCCGTTGTACCAGTTTCCTTCATACCCGGGCCCGGTATTCTACATAACTTTTTTGTCCACACATGGTGTGATTTCACGTGGTTGCTATGGCAACAGAACTTTAAGGGCATGACCTTTTCGCAAGGTCACACAATTGCAACTTCGTTAATCCCTATTGGCCAGTCTGGTCAAGGTCACGCACTGCAACCATAAGCTTTCCCTCCTAAAAGAAAATTTGGCTGAAATAACATAAGCTGTCTGCAAGACGTTACGGAGAGGATTATCCTATTGGTTCTCTAGAATTTTAGTCTACATGACGTCAAACATTGGTTAATAGTTGGACTGATGTGAAAGCCAGAAACAATATATTGAATGCGCCAATCACACGATGGGCAGATCGTATGTGTACATCATCAGCATTCACAAGGTCACCTGGCATACAGTTATCGACAGTACATACCTTTCGATCGAATGAGTCTAGACGAAGACTTGGGGAGGGGCAGTTCTAGCGTCTGGTTGAACTGCGCGGAGCGACAAGCGGTGACGTTGGACGTTTTGACCCTCTCTCGGCTGTTAAGACCACCAAACGATCTCCTGAAGCCGCCTGGTAGCTTCGACGAGGAGTCCAGTGACTTCACTGAGCCTGAACTCTGCGCAGTGCTCAAGACTACAAAAATGAATTTGAAAGTTTCGATCAAGTGAGGCCGTCTTTATCAAATTACCGTGCATTACGTGGTACTTGGGTCTCTGACTAAGGCCGGAAAAGCACCTGCGTCCCTGACATCGTATACGTGGCCAGTACAAAACTGCATTCATTTGAAATAGATTCAGGTCATTCAAAATTAGCGCCGGGAGTTTGGCCAAAACTGCGTGTCAAGACTAGAGACTTTTGCACAGCCAATAGGATGTAGGAGGGAGTCAAGATGAACACGACTCAACACGAATCGCTACTTGTTTTATGCGGCTAGATGACAAGGTGCACAAGCGAGTGTAGACGGTCGTGTCCGTGTTACTACTCGGAGTATTTCAGCAGTATCACGTTAACTATGCGTGTCTGCGGCTTACTTGCTGACTGGAGCCTGGCCTTGATGAAGAAGGTTTCAGGTCCAAAATACGTCGACGTGGCAGCATTGGGTCTTGGCAGGATGCATCCAGCCTCGTAGATGTGAACGAGAAGAGAAACGGGATCTCCGTTTGCTTCCAAACGCCGAAGACTCAGTGCCAAAATCACGTAACCGGAGGCCGGTTCTTGGGAGTTCAGAATTTCATCGGGTATCTAAACAAAAGACGCGTTTGTGTGTAGAGGCACGTCCGAACTGGTTTACTTCTAATCTGATTAATTCTTGTCACTCATCTTCACCTCTCATTGGTCCGTGTTCTCAAATACTCTGTAAACAGGCCCTTCATATCACATCGTTCCTTCTGGGTGAATATTAGTGTCGCCTTCTTACCACTTTAGTTGCAACCCAAATTTTATTTTTTACAAGCACCCTTAATTGTACAATCTAATGCGGAACGCGGTTAGGTCTCAAAGTGATTGGTTCCTTACTTTGTATCTGATTGGTGCTCTGATCGCCTGGTCAAGGTCGTTTGTGAGGATTGTCGCGTCGGTGGTGTCAACAAAAGTCACCGCATTTTTCTGAATCGATGCGTCCCCCTTGTCTTCTCCTGGTTTTTCCTCGCAGGCAGGGTGAACATCCTCCGTGCTAGCACGTGAAATCTATGAATCAGCATGGAGATTCTTTATTTTTGGGTCAAATCCTCAAATTAATTATTCAAACTTCACTACAACCTACTTAAACATCTTATAGTAGTATATGTTCACTAGGATTTTGTAAATTTGACAGTGAATGGTATTGCTCGCGGTTAAAGAAAATTGAATATGAAAATTGTTATGGTATGTATCAGCGTATAAAAAGTAAATAGAATCAACAGTTATTTCATGTAATACAAAAAGACAATAAAATTCAAATTATCTACGTTCAGAGGTAATGGAGACAATGTAGTAGGTATTCAACAAAATTTACTCATCTTACGTGGATCGTATCTGCCATCTCGACTTGAACTGCAACGGATGAAATTCCGATCTGCTCTGTACTGTCCTTTTGTCGTGCGGATTCTTCACTCTCACATTCCTACGATTCAAAATCATCGGTTAATTTGAAGCTAAAACATGATTGTGCAAATGCGCGCGAAATTCAAAAAGGCGGAAATGACGATGGCACTGGCAAAAATAAGATCACCTTGAACTTCTCACCAATTAGCTTGACCAATCATCGTACTGAGCTGTCATTTGGGTGTCCACAGTTGCCAATAATTAGACCACAGGTTTAATTATATCGAACCGTAAAACACCGTTTGGGTAAAATCGCATGCCTTTGTGAATTCATGAGTGTTTGCTCAAGGTATTGATTAACTGTAGCGCCTAAAATTCAAGGCCACCTGCTTGATTAAACGATCGATGTTCGCACGCAACACAAGCTAGATTCCCATTGGCCACAATTTAATAGCTCATTAACAAGGTTATTGATTTTTTACTCTGATTCTGTTTTACTAAACATTAGGTGATTTTGAATTACGTTAAACCACTAGAATAGTTACCGCTTGTGCTCAGGCTTCAAAACAAGTGGTTCTCTGTGTTTAAATTGTTGTCTAATTACACACGATAATGATCAACCGTGGTCATGGATGACCTTCAACCGCTAAACAGGCCTTCAGAAACCACTTTACCTGACCCCCAAAAGTAGAAGATTTATCTGGTTTGTAGTAGGTCAGATAAGGGCAATTTTATATTCCAAGCCATTTCAATTTTGTTCCTGACGGAAGCCATTTGGATCTCGAAATGGACCCAGCCAATCCCCATTCCAGGCGTGCTTAGTAACCAATAAGAAGACTAGAATGGGCAAGAAGAGCGCAAATAACAAAAGCACAGACAAGATCGACTTCTAATTTCCTAAACATGTTCTGGTAAAGGTTTGAAAGTAGCATTTTGCACAAAGTCCCCCCCCCTAAACTATAGCAAAAATCAAATTTTTTTTAAACTTACTTGGTGACTTGAACCTTCAGTTTTGAGTAACTTTGATTGGTCTCCCTGAGGCTTCGTGGATTCAACTTTCTGTCGAGAGACGAATGGATATTTTACAAATTCGTCGTCGTACGTACTAAGAAAGTAATCGATTGTTTCCTCTCGGTTATTCGCATTGACTAGTTTACATTTTGACACAGAAAGACAGATGCGTCTCTGCCTGTATCTCCTGTGTAAAAGGTCGCGTTTTCGAAGAATTTGAATTACACAGAATACCACCAAGAAGGTGCCAATGGCTAGAATCGGTCCAAGCCACACAAGCACTAATTTAGCCAATGAGGTGTCCGGTGAAGTCAGAGCGACCGTTGGACAGGCGTTTGCAGGCGCCATGCATGTCTTTGTGCCGGCACCACGACCGAACAGCGATTATCGATTGGCTGATGCTGACCACTGAGTCCAAATCGATGGTTATTGCGAGGGCGCGCTAAACGCATTTAAAACCACCACGTGGTCGTTTGGCAAATTTGTGGAATTCGTAGGATTAAAATCCTCATATCTGCCTTTATCCACGCATATTCAACTGGACTCAGACTTCACAAATTAGTAAATTCAAAAATAAATAAATAGTTAATTCCTGAAGTTGCAGATTTAAAAAGAAGGTTTTTTGAGTAATTAGTCAACTCTGGATCCACTGTTGTAATGGCTAAAAAAGGTTGCTTTTAACAACCACCACGTGCTTCCAGCCCCAAGTGTACTTCCAGATATTCAGTTGGAAGAGTTGTGGAAGCATAGAAATTTGTTTAAACTAGCGTATTTTTAAGCACTTTCATCGTCCAAAAAAATTAACTTACATCTGCCAACGGAACTTGAACGATGGCGAATTCAGGCAGCACACAGGTGTCATTGATGCATTGATCCCAATCAAAAAGCACATCTTCCTCCTCACTATCCAACAACGCTTGCTGCTTCTGAGAAAATATTGCGTCAAAATTCAACAACGAGTCCTCGCTTATGCAAAATGTCTCCTTTGGTTGGCCAACGATCTGGTTTGAATTCGGCTCAGGTGCATAGATCTTGACCTTGGTTTTCTGCCTTTTCTGACAAGTTAAACAAATTACTGAGACGGCGATCAGGAGAACCACAAGTAGTCCTGAGAGGGCCACAGCAACGGGGACGAGGGATATCCCAACGCCCTTAAACAAATTGCAATGATGACAGATGTCATCGCTGGGCGGTAAGGCATTTTTAGCCGTGGTGTTCACGAGAGAGGTCATCTTCTTACTGCTGGTGCTTGGAAAGAGTAGAATATTTCATTGCGTCGTAGCCAAGTGCAACCTAATCGCCGATCGTGACATGTGTAAGTGCAAAGGACGCCACGTGAATACTACTGTAGTGGGTTTGGCATAGTTCGATCGACTCGATTAGAGTCGGAAAATAGTTTATCGAAAGACCCAAAAAACCTACGAATTACGTGATATTTTGTGTTTTTTATTCTCGCATTCTTACGCAATGCCTCGGAGTTGGGAGAAAAGATATGTAACTCGTAGCAAATTGTTGGGGGGCGATCCCGCTGAATGAGGTGCGCTCAAATGGCTAGCTCCAAATCTATCATTAGTTTTGAGAATTCAAACAGGCCTCTCTTGCATCAATCGATGATTGTCATTTTTTCGAAATTCATTCAGGATCCTGTGCTTACGGAAGTTTTGTTCATGAACGCTATTATTACTAGCAATGTGTTTTAAGGATAGCTGTGAAAGTTATGTTGGGCTTTGGTTTATTTTCTATTTAAGGAATACACAAAAAAATTAATCCACATTTGTACATCATGTGAAATCAAACAGATTAGAATGACTATTGGGAATTAAAGTTTGCAAGGACTGTTTCTCATTTAACTGCTTTTGATCAATATGTTTTGTCAATAAAACCTTCATATTTTATAACGAAACCTTTTCAATCGCAAAATTAAACTGTTGTGGGCCCCAGAATATGGTCTTGAACCACGCCGGGGCCACTGAATTAACCCTGACCCGATTACACTACCCTGAAAACCGCGATGAAGAAAAGGATCAAAGAGGACGTGGACACAAGCGTTTACTGCAAAGGTCAACCACGTTGGTGACATTGTGTTATGGGTTGCAATTGCGCGTGTGTATTTATGCCTCGGAGGTGTAAGTCATACACGCGCTAACATCGAAACCCATGTTTGACGATAATCCAAGATAAATATCCGTGTGAATGAGAGAGTAGCTCAGTATCCGCACGGCTGGTGAAATGATGCGAAAAGGGGAACCCTGTGTCGGAGGTGGAGCGACCGGATTAAGGAATGTGAAAAAAAAACGAATTACAAAAATCCAATAGAATGTTAGGGTTTGAAGTTACTGCACTTATGATATTAAAGTATATAGATATGTTAATAATTAGGTTGGTACTTTGCTAGTGCTTTAAAAAGGAAAATTTTGAATAAAAGAGAAACAAGTGGTATTAGTTATGAAATTATGCGCACAATTGAAATGAAAATAAAGTGATTGCATAAAATTTTATATCATATAAATTTTTTGCATCAATATAAGCTTATAACAGTTTAATACGAAAAAAGTTACATTAAATGTGAATATTTTAATCCTAAGAAAAGGATGATGAAAAAAAGCAATTATTCATCAGTCAGACTTCATTTTTATAATGTTTAAAAACCGTAAGCTTGTTTGACGAGCAGTTGCTTCTGTAAGATATGAAAAGCTTACAAGGAATAAGACAAAAATTAGCCTGACTAAAAAACATTCGGATTAATTACTGCGATGACCAACTTAAATTAGAAATGACTTTAAAATCGGATTAAAAAACAACATTTGAACAAGCATGCAAAGTGAAAAAAAGATGCAGCGAACAAATTGTG